TTTGTTTTGAATGACGAAGGCTGTGAAACGTTCACAGTTCTGATAATGAGGAAATCAGAAAGAATGTTTAAAACTAGTATAGTGATGATGTTTATGTCATTATTCTTAATCTAATCTAATCATCTAAAAATGTATTGTCATGCAAATTGGCTCTGGTAATCTTAAGAATCAGTACTTGTTCGGTGGTGTGCCTTTTAGGTCTGTTGACAGCGAGACCTTGGAGTGGTCTTTACCAGTGCTTTTAAATTTGAAGATAACGTGAGAAAGTGCATTGCTAAAGCTAATAGAACCATTGCCTGGCTTACAAGGATATGCAGATGACCACCAGGTATATAAAACTTTCAAACCTTGTGATCAGGTAAATGTTCTGGGCATCCAAATTGTGAATTGCGCTAGGACCATACAGCGCTGGATGGTTGAATATTGCCTTCAACTTAATCCTGGAAAAACACAAATACTTATCATCGCCTCACCTCAAGTTCTAAACCAGGTCAGTATAGGGGGAGTTAAGCTATCAAATGATACCTGTATCAGATTTGTCAGCACAACAAAGAACCTTGGTGTTCAAATTGACCATCATCTTACTTTTGAGCCTCAAATCATGTCCCTCAAAAAGCATTGTTTCAGACTCCTTAGGAATGTAATAAGGAGAAAATATCTCTTTAGTAAAGCTCAGCTCAAGCTTATAATTAGCAGCATCATTGTCTGCAAATTGGACTACTGCAATGCTCTTTATTATGGAATTAGTGACAACCTCATCCACCAACTCCAACTCGTTCAGAATGCAGCTGCTAAAGCTATAGTAGGACTATATAAATATGATCATCTAGGAGACACTCTGAAAGACCTTCATTGGCTGCCTATTAGTTACAGAATTCAATATAAGTTATTGCTTCTTGTCTATAAATGTCTTAATGGTATGGGACCAGATTATTTAAGTGATATGTTTAAATATGCCAATTATAATCATCTTATCTATTTGACTGAACCTAGAGTATATTCACAGTATGGAGAAAGATCGTTTCAGAAAGTTGGCCCTAAATTATGGAATGAGCTGCCTCTTGAAATTAAGAATTGCATGTCACTGGAATCTTTTAAAGTGTATCTGAAAACGTTTCTTTTTAAACGTGCTTTTGATATTAATTAATTTACTATTTTTCAACGTTTCTACTGTTAAGTGCATACCCTTAACTTTGTAATTTAATGTATCAAGTCTTTACAATTTTCTATGGTTTGGAACCTAAATGTGGATTGCTTTTCAGGTTTTCTTGTATCCTGACTTGTTTTCGTGGCACACCTGTGCATTTTAAGTTGTTGTGCCACTATAATCTATAAGTTTAAATTATTATTATTATTATTAAATATTATATCGAGGGAAACAAGCGTTATGCTGGGCTTGTATAAGTCACTGGTAAAACCTCATATATAGTATTGTTCGCAGGCATGGGCTCCGATGACAAGGCATGGTAACTGGTCACTGATCCTTGAATTGGAAGGTGTTCAAAGATCATTCACCCGTATGATCGATGGATTGGGCCTCGTGACCTACAGAGAGAGACTGGATAACTTGAAGCTCACAACCTTGCTTGAACGTAGGGTCCGTGGGGATCTCATTGAGATGTTCAAGATCCAGGAAGATTATGGGTCCGATTTATTTGGTCGTGCCATGCTGGTAGGACTGTCTCTGCTAGGTCAAAGCCACACAGACTTAACACAAATGAGACTGACTTCTTTGCCCAAAGGGTCTTGCGCTACTGGAACAGTCTACCACCACTTGTAAAAGCTAGTGAGTCGGTTATTGGATTATTATGGAATTAGTGACAACCTCATCCACCAACTCCAACTCGTTCAGAATGCAGCTGCTAAAGCTATAGTAGGACTATATAAATATGATCATCTAGGAGACACTCTGAAAGACCTTCATTGGCTGCCTATTAGTTACAGAATTCAATATAAGTTATTGCTTCTTGTCTATAAATGTCTTAATGGTATGGGACCAGATTATTTAAGTGATATGTTTAAATATGCCAATTATAATCATCTTATCTATTTGACTGAACCAAGAGTATATTCACAGTATGGAGAAAGATCGTTTCAGAAAGTTGGCCCTAAATTATGGAATGGGCTGCCTCTTGAAATTAAGAATTGCATGTCACTGGAATCTTTTAAAGTGTATCTGAAAACGTTTCTTTTTAAACGTGCTTTTGATATTAATTAATTAACTATTTTTTCAACGTTTCTACTGTTAAGTGCATACCCTTAACCTTGTAATTTAGTGTATCAAGTCTTTACAATTTTCTATGGTTTGGAACCTAATTGTGGATTGCTTTTCAGGTTTTCTTGTATCCTGACTTGTTTTCGTGGCACACCTGTGCATTTTAAGTTGTTGTGCCACTATAATCTATAAGTTAAAATTATTATTATTATTATTTTAAAAGGGGATTAGATGCCTTTCGGCTTCATGGATATCAGGCAAATAAGCTTGGCCACTACTGGGAACTGTCATATGAAATCTTTGATAGGATAGATGTGTCCGTGCCTAATAGGAATAGTTATGTAAGTTATATGAAAGAGAATCCAATGGTAGCTAAGAGGAAGAAGGTTAAGACCAAAGATATTTAGTTGAATTTTATTTTAGTATATGGTTTCAAACGTAATTTGTTCATTTTCTGTGAATTTCTTTTTTGAGATGCCCAGAGAGGCATTATTTATAATGTTATGTTATGTTAAGTGTATAGCGAGCATATTTAACAATTTTTAAGCAATAATGTATTGCAAGCAGCTGTGACTTAAATATCGCAAAATCATATAACTCAAAACTAAAATTTTACTGGAATATAAGGAAAACTAATACAAAATTAATGTCAGACCCGTCACCACTCTCAGCAGTCAACCAGGGCTCATAAAAGCTTAACAGCACCTGGGTCCTTTCACCAACTGTGCTAATGTGAGTGGCGCGGCGGTGTGGTAATACCCATTTTAACAGCGTGTATATTGATTAAATACAAGCCGCTAGCTGCTAGCATACTTGTATCATTCAATTTTAAATCAAATTTATTCGGATATATATTAATTATTGATTGTGTATTGAATTGGTGATAAATAATAAAACTGTATTTTCTCAAAAAAATTGTCTTTTCTCAGTTTTTCCCTACATTTTTCTACTGGAAAATGCATACACATTAACGTTTATTTAGTGTATCAAGTTTAATACCCTTGCCTGGCTTAGAATATAAATGTGGGCTGCTTTTTCAGGTTTTATTGTGTCCTGAACTGTTTTCGTGGCAGACCTGTAAAGTTGTTGTGCCACTATAATATAAAAGTTTAAATTATTATTATACCGGGTCTCAATAAGAGGTCTCGACTGCCTAGGCATCAAACCTTTGCAATCGGTAATTTTCCTCTGGCCCGGAATCAGCTGACCCTAGGGACCAGAGGATAAAGGCGTAGAGACTGTGTGTATCTACAAAAGTGGTTGTTTTTACAAGAGACAGGGCTTGCAACGCAAGGGAAGAAAAACGAGAATAGCGGGGAGCTTCCTATTATCATTTTCCCACCTTCAGGATGTTTAAATGGTTTGCCCAAGGATGTCACTTCTTGTTTTGGGTGTGGAATCAGATGTGTAATGATTTAATTTTATAGATTCAATTCTGTATTTGTTCTTCAAATTTTGTTTCTCTAAATAGGTTAGTATGGCTGAATAAGTATGTAAGTCAACCATTTTGAAAATATTCTAGAGAGTGCTTCTTGGCACCCACTTGTGCTAAAACAACTGTTTAATTCAAGTACAATGTCAACATCTACTCCTCCTCTTGACGGACCATGTCTTTTGGGAGATTGTACTTTCAACTGGAATACATCAAAGAAAGCAGAGGTTTTTAACAGGCAATTAGCTATTTTACAAGATTAAATTATTATCATGTCACTGAAAACAATAGGCTTTGTATAAATATATAGTGAGGAATTTAGAGGAGGGGGTCAGTAAAGAATAAACCAGTTGCTTCATTTATTTATTGACTCATCTGCACTCAGCAGCAGTAAACCAATGAGTTCCATGGTTCACCCTAACTGGTTAAGTAATTAGGTTCACAAATTACTGTGGTTTTCAAAGTGAGAAACCTTACTTGATATACCAAGTAGTCAGTTCACATTGTCCTCTATGATATACTAGAGAACCTGTAGGAAAATGTGATCTTTGATTTTTTCACGGATTTTTATAAGGTTATCAAATGTTTGAACAACAGAAATGCATATAATGTAGTCTCAAAATATACTAATTTTAATTCAGGATACGATACTGCCTCACCTGTTATCAGAGCACAAAGTGGTCATAGCCTCCGTGGACACAGTGTACAACATGCAACAATACCTTCATTACTGGAGAAACAAAGTTCATGGAACAAACTTGGCTGAGCACTTGCACGGAATTAATGTCCACAAGAAAGAAGGAGACAGTTACCCTGAGTTGTATTATATGCTGAATGACACGTCTCAGGAGGACAAAACTCTGAGGCGCAGGATATACAATGAAACATTGATCAAAGTTTTAAAACAACAGCAGGTACAATGCTCACAATTTTCAAACATTTTTTCCCAATCCATGACTCAAGTGCTGTAGGGCGTAGTCACAAAAGAGTCAAGCAAACGAAATGTTTTTTGTATATTTTAGCTTCCATCCGTCGTCCCTGTGCACACTTTCAACATAAGAAATTATACGGCCGCTTTTTATTGTTGTATATGAGCACATTGCCCGATCGGACGAACTATTTTGTGGAAGGAGCCCTCAATGTTATAAAATCGGTTGGCACTCGAAGATTTAAAATTTTAATTTTACAAAGGATCGTTTTAAATCTTGATATAAATATGTTGTATTGTCAAAATGTTAGGCTTCATTGTTAGCCAAACTACAATTCTGCACTAACATATCCCTCTTACAGGAAGAACGAGAATGTGAGAGTTTGAATATTGACTGTCTTTTCTGTCCTGACAAGCTAAAAGGAAACAGATTCAAAATATCAGAACATTTGTACCACGAACACAGCTTTACCCTAGGGCATCCTGACAATTTGGTAATTCCATTTCTTAAGTTTCTTGAACTCCAACTTTTATTTAACTTTTCTTTTTTTTATATTGAATGTCTTTTTTTATATTGAATGTCTTTTTTTAAATATTGAACGTCTGCACATTGTACAAAATTATTGTAATAATTATAAAATAAATAATATTCAAGTTATCATTATTTTATATGGTAAAAACATTACTATTACTCCAGTTTATACAGGATTTTTGACTTAACATTAAAGCTGTATCTAATGCAGGGTGCATTTAGGTGTATACTGCTCAATTCATAGAGCACCTGCGCAGTAAGATGGTACGGGCAGAATGTTTGTACTGTGATAAAACATTTCGAGATTACAAAACTCTTAGGGAACACATGAGGAAGAAATTACACAAGAAGTTAAATCCTAGCAACACAGGTTATATATAAAACAATGCAACCCTCTTTTTTTTGTTGAAAAAAAAATGGATATGCGACCATTAAAACAAGGTTATCAGTAAAACAAAGTTATCAATTTTACACCAACTTTATACAATAATAATGGAAATCTCTACAAAGAAAAGCAAATTAGGATAATATTTGCATTCCAGTCATACGTTACAATAATATGACAAATGACAATTGACATGACATGATGTATGCATAATTTACATGAAACAGAACACAGCACAAAATTTGAATTTACCTTAAGCCAAACCACATAAAGATCGACGGGACACCCCAAAATGCGTGCAGAGTTTTTCAAGTTTTGCACAGTGACGTCATCAGAACTACTTATGCCTTATATAGTGTGAAATGTGCATCAATTATTCCATATAATATAGTATAATTGCATCGATTGATCACGTGACACGTGCCAATTTTAAAGGACCAGTTAACTGAAAAAAAAGTTATCCTCATATTTTGACAGATTGTGACAAATAGCAAACTAAGCAACGAGTCGAAATTCCTAAATCTCTAACTGCTCTCTAACGCGTGTAAATAGCGTTTGTATTATTTTGGCGATGACGTCATAAAGTCCCTCTTGCGCGCAGAGTAGCTCGTGAGACTGTATTTTACAGGTAAAAAATGGACATAATACAATCTTTTCCCCCGAATAACTCGAAAAGTAAGTAATTTAGGGTACATGTTGCTTCATAAGTTGTATATAAACATGGCCATTCTGCACAATTTGCACACATTCAAAATCTTTTAGGGCCTTCATAGCCCAATTAACCAGATACCCATAGTTTTGCATGATTTCTGGAACCGAAAATCAGTTTTTCGCCAATAACTGAAAAAGTAAGCACTTTAAGGCATATGTTTGTTCGTAAGTCATATATTAATATGCTAATTGCGGTTCTTTTGCATCCTGTCTGAAGACTCCATCACGATCATATCAAAAATGGGCTTAGCACCACGCCCAAAATGGTTTTTGGCGAATTTATCGAAAAGTAAGGATTTTAGGCCATGTGTTGCTCAATAACTCCTATATAAACATGCATATGCGGCTTCGTTCAAGCCTATTTTGAAGTGTCTACGACCTTCAGAAGCAAGGGGTCGGTTACGTTATTGGGTCAATATGGGCGTGGCCCTCCTGGGTTTTCTCCACGGTCAAAAAAATGTCTCCAAACGAAAATCGTTTAATCATAACTTCGGGAAGGTCTGTGCAAAGTTTCGTGAGTATTAGAACATTTGCAGGTTCATTTCCATAAATGTCCATAAATGACTGGACTACACAACTTTAGAGTTAACTTTAGAGAAACTCATAAGTCATTTATCTCAAATTAAGCTGTTAGTGTCCATGATCAACCTCTGGCGACAATGTTTTACGTGAAATGTAAAAATCAGGAGTAATATAAAAAAGGTATTTTTAGATTAAAGTGCTAGCTCATAGTTTTAGAATTGTATAGATTAACGTTGGTCATTTAGCCATCTAACAATCGATCGTGCCGTAATATATGGCCAGAGAATAATAGGGTCTTGGAAATTCTATAGTTGTTCAGTGGGTCGATCGACTGAACACGTTTGCACTTGGTATTTAAACTTACCAGTAGTTTATTTATGTTATGCACCGATGATAATGCAATTAGGATAACAACTAGGTAAGCCGGAAGTCTAATTCAAAACACACCTCACACCGTACACACCTCCAATCAGTAATTTTACTATTTGGTAGACCGGGTATTTTGGCGGGAATTCTGTTCCCACGGCACTGTTCTGATAGAAGCTACTTCTACTAATGGTCCCAGAGGAACGGCCGTAAAGTAGCCAGACTTCTTGTCTCCTGTACTGGCAGACACTTGCAGATTAAAGTTAGAAATTTCGCTATGCTATAAATATAATTGCTCTCGGAATTGAACAAACTCCTACTTATCTGTATCCTTTCTAAATTCGTTAGAGTTTCATGGACTGGGGAAAAATAATCGGTACAGTCTCCCTGCTTGTGTAATTAAGCAATGAAAACAATCCAAAATTATCACATATGACATAAGTTGTAATAGCAGAAACTTTCTAACCGTACATTCACCCGCCACTGTTCAAGAACCTATATCACTGTTTAAAATCATGACGTGAGCACTGTACATCCAATCAGCTATTCCTTTAGTTAGGATGATAGCCAAAACTATAAGGATTTTGGAGAACTAGGGTAATAGTCATAATTCTAAAATTTGAGTGAGTTACACGTGTTTTATTGACGATGATAAACATTTGTAATGTAAATTACGCTATGCAAGCGCGCACTGAGGGACTTTATGACGTCACGAGGCCACAGCTTATTATTGCAATAACACGCGTTACACGTACGCTAGAGAGTTGGTTCTTTCGACGATACGATTCTTTACCAGTTTGTCACAGCTGATTTAAATCTTAGCCAAATTGGAGACTACAAATTTTTCAGTTAACTGGTCCTTTAAGGTAAACAAATATGCCTCACCTTCTACCAGAATCCACATCTATGAATCGTGATATTATCATAAATAAATTAGTGGCCTCGCATAATAAGATAGACCTTGTGCTAGCCTTCTAATAAAAATTGCGAATACAATTATTAAATGTTGCTTCTAATTCTCTGTTTGACCGCTTAAATCTGATCTGTTAACGTTTCATACAATTATAAATTATGTAATCATTGAGCGGTGCATTGCTTAGTCATACATTGACTAAGCAATTTTTAACTCATTACAACACTACAAATCTATTACATTTATTGAGTATTATGTAACGTGATGGAAATGTTTTAAGCCGGTAATATCCTGTCCAAACCCAGGATACATTACAGCATTCAAAGACTTCGTTGTAACTTTGTATGAAAAGCATTAATAAATTATATTATGTTAATTTGACTTTGTTTATTCATTTATTTATCAAAAATTTGAATACGCTTCTACATTTAAAACTTACCTCTATAAATAGGCGTTATCTAATATCTATGTTGTAAATTATATTTCAGAATTTGACAAGTATTACATCGTAAACTACCGAGAATTTGGAAAGAGTTGGAAGACTTTGAGTAAAGACGATAATGATGGTTCAGACTCCCGGAATGGTAAGAAAGATTCAAGCGCAGATTGAATTATTATCATGTCACTGAAAACAATAGATTATGTCTGTCTTTATGTACGACCGCCCACGTGCAAATTGAACGAAAAATAAAAAGGTGCATAGTAACCATGGTAACCGTGTTGAACGCGCACGTGCACGTGCAAAGATTTGCGAGCGACATTTTGATCGGTTTTGATGAGGCCCTGCACCACTAATCCTGCACCAGTAACCCTGCACCACTAACCCTGCACCAGTAACCCTGCACCACTAACCCTGCACCACTAATCCTGCACCAGTAACCCTGCACCACTAACCCTGCACCAGTAACCCTGCACCACTAACCCTGCACCACTAACCCAGCACCACTAACCCTGCACCACTAACCCAGCACCACTAACCCTGCACCACTAACCCTGCACCACTAACCCTGCACCACTAACCCTGCACCACTAACCCTGCACCACTAACCCTGCACCACTAACCCTGCACCACTAACCCTGCACCACTAACCCTGCACCACTAACCCTGCACCACTAACCCTGCACCACTAACCCAGCACCACTAACCCTGCACCACTAACCCTGCACCACTAACCCAGCACCACTAACCCTGCACCACTAACCCTGCACCACTAACCCTGCACCACTAACCCTGCACCACTAACCCTGCACCACTAACCCTGCACCACTAACCCTGCACCACTAACCCTGCACCATTAACCCTGCATCACTAACCGTACAGGAAGTCCAACTGAAGAAGATTGGTCAGACTGGGAAGGCTCAGCTCCGGAGATACAGTGCTTAGTGTGCAGTGTAGTTTACTCCAAGTTTACTGCAATCAAACAACACATGAGATCCCAACACCGCATAGACTTGGACAGCTTGTGTAACGGCATGTCTTATTACAAACAGGTCAGTTGTGTGTTCCATATAGACTTCAGGCGACTTTCCGTCAACTCGAGCACAAAACCGTGGCTATTGGCAATTTTAACTGCAAAGTTTAATGAAGGTTTAAAAGCTAATATACTACCTCAGGTAAAACTGATAAACTATATCCGGTATCTTATAATGGACTCAGACTGCCCCTTCTGCGACCAATCATCGCTACCTGATATATCCAAACACTTGCTAACTCATATGAACATAACATCTATGTCACACGAACGTTTCAATGATGACCGGTATCTGTTTCCTGCGCTGGATAACGATTTTATGTTGTGTTGTTTAAAGGATGTACTTGTAGAGGGAGAGGATGTTTTGGTTATTCCTGAGGATATCCCACAACCTCACACGTGACACCAATAAGGTGGTGCGTCATACGTCCACCTAGTCAACCTACAGAGACATGATCAAATTATAGCGCTTTCTCGTTGAGGCTAGGAGGTTACTCCGATCCTACCAATTCAGATTTCTTTAAGTTTGAGGGTGGTGTGTATTTATATAGCGGTACTGAGTTACAGAGGTTCTTGTGCAATCTCTCCAATCACCACCAACTAGGACTATTTTGTATTATTTTGCTACCCTTGATTTTGCAATTGGTTTTATGAAATTATAAATGGAGTATATTCTTATTTTATGACTTTATTGTTTATCATATAATAATATGATAAACAATGAAATGTTGTGTATAAAGTAGAATGGGTTCCATGAAATCTTTATAATACAGGGTTTTCAAAAAAGGCAACCATGTGATCAGTGTTAATAACCCACAAATGATTCTGCAGTTGTTCAGGCAAGGTGGTTCTGCCGCGCCGTGCAGCTCCTCAATGCCTTGAACTTGTGGGAGTCGATTCGGTTTCAAATTCTGAACATAATGCACTAATAATAAACGGCAAAGTTCCATAAGTTCTTTAAGAAATCCTATCAGTGGACAGTGCCTATCTAGCAGAAAAATGAGTGGGCCAAAAAAAAGGTTCCTGATGGATTTTTGCACTGAAATTTTGAAAACAGATTCCGCAGCATCATAGCACATGGCTTGAGAGGTTTCAAGTTGCTAGCTTAAATGTGAGGCGAATTACCAACGAAATAAACTATGTTGCTTTCTTTGAAGCACACTGCGTTTCTAGTACCTCTCATTTCAAGTTGTACATTCTTTTGGTTTGAAATTGCGTAACTGATGAAATTTGATGACGAATGAAATTCAAGCCAGAATTTGTTGATAAAAATTAAATATTGAATGGGCGGCTCCAAAGTTTATGCAGGAAAATTCTGTTTGCTTTTAGGTAGAACACAGAACTAATTGACTTTTCCTTGTAAGCGGAAGAGATAGCGAGGGTGGAGGGAAAATTCCTCTCGGTCTCGGAGGGGGGAGGGGGGTCTCGGCAGCTAAGTGTCGGATTTTTCAGGAATATTTAATAGATAAACAGGCACATAGTCAAAGGAGGTGTTAGTTTTTAACAATTATAGGTAAACCATATTTTTGGGGGTTAATTAAGCACCACTTAGTGTTAAAAATGCAAGTTAGTGTTGAAATGTTATCAGAAACCACTCCCCTCAATAATGCAAAACACTGGGGGGGGGGGGGGGTGAAAATGGTGAACTGATGAACAGTTTGTTAGTTGAAAAGTGTAGCGATAATACAGATAACCAATATTGGTGATCAATAAGTGTGCACTAAAACTGTATGATGAGCTGTTACCTGATAGATCATAGAACTAGAGCTACTCTAGTAGTACTCATCGTCATAGAGTACTCATCGTCAAACTTGAAAGCCGAGATTCTAATCTGTAGTCGTGTGCCGATCTTGTTAAGGCCACTGTATGAAGGCAGAAGGGGGGGGGGGGGGGTGGGGCGGGGATGGGGGGGCCAACAGAGGGGGGCCGGGAGTGGGGAGGTCAACAGAGGAGGGCCGGGAGTGGGGGGTCAACAGAGGAGGGCCGGGAGTGGGGGGTCAACAGAGGAGGGCCGGGAGTGGGGGGTCAACAGAGGAGGGCCGGGAGTGGGGGGTCAACAGAGGAGGGCCGGGAGTGGGGGGTCAACAGAGGAGGGCCGGGAGTGGGGGGTCAACAGAGGAGGGCCGGGAGTGGGGGGGTCAACAGAGGAGGGCCGGGAGTGGGGGGTCAACAGAGGAGGGCCGGGAGTGGGGGGGTCAACAGAGGAGGGCCGGGAGTGGGGGGTCAACAGAGGAGGGCCGGGAGTGGGGGGGTCAACAGAGGAGGGCCGGGAGTGGGGGGTCAACAGAGGAGGGCCGGGAGTGGGGGGGTCAACAGAGGAGGGCCGGGAGTGGGGGGTCAACAGAGGAGGGCCGGGAGTGGGGGTCAACAGAGGAGGGCCGGGAGTGGGGGGTCAACAGAGGAGGGCCGGGAGTGGGGGGTCAACAGAGGAGGGCCGGGAGTGGGGGGTCAACAGAGGAGGGCCGGGAGTGGGGGGTCAACAGAGGAGGGCCGGGAGTGGGGGGGTCAACAGAGGAGGGCCGGGAGTGGGGGGGTCAACAGAGGAGGGCCGGGAGTGGGGGGGTCAACAGAGGAGGGCCGGGAGTGGGGGGTCAACAGAGGAGGGCTGGGAGACGGGAGTGGGGGGGTCAACAGAGGAGGGCCGGGAGTGGGGGGTCAACAGAGGAGGGCCGGGAGTGGGGGGTCAACAGAGGAGGGCCGGGAGTGGGGGGTCAACAGAGGAGGGCCGGGAGTGGGGGTCAACAGAGGAGGGCCGGGAGTGGGGGGGTCAACAGAGGAGGGCCGGGAGTGGGGGGGTCAACAGAGGAGGGCCGGGAGTGGGGGGTCAACAGAGGAGGGCCGGGAGTGGGGGGGTCAACAGAGGAGGGCCGGGAGTGGGGGGGTCAACAGAGGAGGGCCGGGAGTGGGGGGGTCAACAGAGAAGGCCGGGGTTAGAGCACGATCTGGAGATATCGTACGTAAAATTTCAAGGTTTACACTTTACATGTCATCTTATTGTATATGAGAACTTCAAATGAAATTTGTTTTGAAATTTTTTTAAAGTTTCAATTGTTTATCTCTCACACTAACTTTGACACGAAAGTCGTGTTAAATTTGATGCCGTGGTGTTACTGTTAGTATTAATGGCAACAGATATACCTATATATTTCGTCTCGCTTTATATAGTATTATATACATACATGCAATGTTACATAATATCTTACTATGTATAGTAAGATATGTATTATGTATCACAATTATATGTAACATATTAAATGTGTCGTGTATTATAATTCTATGTAACATAGTTGTTAATTGTTACAGTTAATTAAGTTTTCTGATAGTAGGATTAACTATTTGTTAATTGTTACAGCTAATTAAGTTTTCTGTTAATAGGATGAACTAGCACAGTTTAAGGGAGACGTTAAGATGGCCAGTATTGTTCAACGTTTCCTCGATTGGATCAGGTCAGATGACTGCAACTATTTTGCAATTATTGGTTTATAAAGTACATTTTGTCGTGGTGATTTATTTATATAATTATACTCAAAAGTCAAAAATGTGTCCAAGATTATTTGATGTTTTTGTCAGGTCGCTGTTCTGGAAAGAAGAGATGGAATTGACACTGGTCGGTATGCAAAATAGTGGCAAAACTACTTTTGTTAACGTTTTAGCGGTAAGATAAATACATACACTTATTTTGTATTAAATTATATGAAAATTGTACAAAACCTTTCGACCTGATTCTATTTAAATAAAAACTATAAAACAATGCTATGACACATTTCTAATTTTAATTTTCAGTCTGGGCAGTTTAATGAAGACATGATTCCTACAGTCGGCTTCAACATGAGAAAAGTTACTAAAGGGAATGTTACTATAAAGGTTACTATATACTTTATAATGTTACTATAAAGCTAAAGTTTACTATATAGTTTATGTTACTAATTTATGAAAATTTGGCCTATCGTCCATTTTTGGGTTTCACCCTCTACTTTATAACGTTACTATATAAAGGTGAATGTTTGCATCGTCACGTGATCCAACAGTGGATTTCACCAACACTTGACAAATGACATGTCCGCTACTGTTCGTGAATCTTCCTTTGGCATTTTGACCAATATTTGTATTCGAACATTTTGAACATGACCTAACTTACTGATCTAAAGATCTAAGTGATCTATTGTAGATAATATAATACGGTGTATCACTCATTCACACAGATAGATGTCTTTGTAATGTTCAATGAGCTATTAGCTTTATATCACGAGACTAACGTGTATACCAGCTCGTGACCTCGCCGTGCTGTATTCAGTATAAGCCACAGCTTTATTATACAGCGTTATTAATGCTTCAAACATATTGTACTTAATGTGCACATTATATATATAATCAATATTTATATTTCCAACCTAATTTTCGGGTTTAATACTTATAGAGTATAGTATAGACCCCTACTATCTCCTGCCAATGATGGGATATTTCCACTATCCACGACTTAACCAATAGATTGCTTATTAAATATGTAATATGTAGCATGTAATGTATGTAACATGTAATATGTAACATGTAGCGTGTAGTATGTAGCATGTAACATGTAATATGTAATATGTAATTTAACTATCACCCAGTTGTGGGATATCGGCGGACAGCCTCGTTTTAGAAGCATGTGGGAGAGATATTGCAGAGGTGTGTCCTGTATAGTGTACATGGTTGATGCGGCAGATCACGAGAGATTAGAGGGGAGCAAGCAAGAACTTCACAATCTACTGTCCAAACCTCAACTTGTTGGCATTCCGGTACGTCTTTAAATATGAATGTGAAATAACGAATTATTTAACTGTTTTAAGGAACATGTTATCTCATTATTACATATTTACACTTTTGCTTTTGGGGATTTACATTAGATAAATTATATTACTTGGCTAGTAGCAACAGAGTACTTGAGTATCATCAATGTTGCATGATATTGTGAACAGAAGTTGTGAGATTATGCTACAACATATTTTTACGTATATCTTAATGTATAATGTTGTTTTAATCTTCAGGTGCTAGTTCTGGGGAATAAGAAAGATCTGCCAAACTCGCTGGATGAAAACCAGCTTATTGACAAGATGTAAGTAGCATCCCTCTGTGGAACAGCTAACAAATAATTGGGAGGTATTTGATGTTTATGGTAAGTTATAGAACTCCTGACCAAACGAGTGCCGAAGGCACAAGTTTTGTCAGGAGTCCTATAAATTGCTTATGGTACGGCACAAGACAACAGTCTTGGGAACATTTTCCGACCAAAATTTTGAAATTTGGTGCATTTTAACCGTGTCAAATTGGCAAAATACTGTATATACTTCCAACACAAAGTGTTCATTGTCCAACGAGCATCCTGCCATGCTGCTACCATCGTGTTACTCTCGTGGTTGCCACATGACAGCTTACCTAACTGCTATAATTGGACAGTGCACTTTTGTCACGTGAGGATTTGGTTATCGATACTTATTGAGTACACATACAGTACTCCATAAATATTAAATTCCTTTATGAAAGAAAGAAAATAGATACTCCTCTAATTTCCAATGATTACAGTGATATTTCAAGATTGACTCAACTTTTGCTGTTCTCTCAAACTATAAGGATGTGAATTGTGAATCTAATTTTGCTTGAGCATGAAATCCAGCCCTTTTCGCTGGCTAATATAGGTCACGTTATCTATCAAGTGACTGTACCTCGTGACTGCGTCACTCGGTTACCACGTGCCCGACAAACTGGTGCGGTACCATAAGTAGTGGCTATATACTTAGTCATAATGCTCACGCTTTACAAGTCGATGGTTGGTAGTCTACTGGAATACTGTTGCCTGCTATGGCACCCCTCCAACATAGGTGACATCCGGGAGCTTGGAAGCGTAAAAAAAGCTTTCACCGCGAGAATTACTAGAATACGTGATCTTCATTATTGGGACGTTCTGATGTCTCTACAGCGTCGCAGGGAGCGGTTTATTATCCTTCATAAGATTATCCATAACCATTAACCATAGCATCAACGAAATTAGCAGTTTGTCTCCAGGCCACGTTTTGGAAACCTTGCAGTCATTCCATCTGCATGCAGACACAGCTCAGCAGCAAATTATATTAGTCACTGTACGATAATTAATTTGTGGCCATAGGCCAAATATTGTGGAATGCAATGCCTTACCATCTGAATTGCATCGGCAACCGGGAGCATTTCAAATCACAGCTCACCCAGCTCATGCTATCTCTTCCTGATACACCGCCCATCAGGGGCTAGGGCTACACTCCTCAGAACTCAAACTCGCTGCTTTGCTGGAGGAATGACAGAGAGATCTCCTCTCTGTGGGGTGGTCACACAACGTGATGGCCCTGTTAAAGCTTAACAAATCTCAACATGTGTGACATACTACATAGGTAGGTGACTTTACTAGTGACAACCCTCTCCCGTTGTGTTTATCTAGTGAGGAACAGTGGTATAAGTTTAATTTATTACAGGGAGTTAAAGTTAGTGACGGATAGAGACATATCGTGTTACTCGATATCCTGCAAAGACAAACACAACCTAGGTACCTTACACTGGGTCTTTACATTTTCCCATCATTTTATTTCTTCTGGTACATTTCTTGTTTACTAATTACATAACATCTTGTTGTAACTTTTAAAAGTTGTTATCACAATATTTAGTGCATACAAAAGTTATATTTTCAGACATAACGATGCAGTGGATAATTTCACGAAACAAAAACAGAAAATAAACAGCCCTAACACACCCCTCCTCCCCTTCCTACTGACTCTCAAAACTCCTCTGTCAATGTTTATTCCGTGTTAACAAATATAACCATGTTTTATAGTCTTATTTGGAAAAAGACCAAATCGATGACTTCCAAATTGTTTTGTGCTCAATTCAGGTTTTAAGTTTGATAAACTGCTTAGCTTGAGTTTAAATATTGTGTTTCTTGAGTTTTACTATATGAGGTAAAGAACGATTGTGAGCCAATGATACCGCTGGACGATCTGAAATCACGGAGTTAAATGAACTTTCTGGTTGTACATTCATCGAAACGATGACATTTTTAAGTTAACGTTAGTTTAACGTGCATAAATGTTTCAGTGTTACATCAAATAATAGAGCATGCAATGGTCTGGTAGTTGTTTTGTCTTTTTGAAAATTGGCAACTTTGACGATGTTTTGATTTACGTATCTTTATAATCGTGGTCAGACCTACGATTACATGTAGTAAATTGGTGAAATAAAAGTTGCTTTGTCAATTGATTTTGTACGAGAATTTATTATGAAGTTCCTAGTTTTCGTATGGGACATAACCAAACTTTAACTGTACGACTAGTAAATATGTCAACTTTATATACAGAGTATTGCTATTTTCGCGCATAGGACGCGCGCGCATAAATATTAGTCGGCTGGCTGCGCTCATATTGCATATCATATAATCAATAATGAGTCATAATAATAAGTTATAATCATGATAATGTTTCACTCTCCCTGGGACTATCACGCGACCTGAGCTCACACATTACATGTAACAAGACCCGCAGCTGAACCCAAAATGCAAAAGGTGCGCTCCTCACCTGGGGGATGATGATTAATCACTCGACTGTCACGTGACTTTCTCAACCCGTTCTCTTGTCTACAATCTTGCTAGCTGGCTGAACGACTATTCGAAACTCTAACCCTCTTATCTGATCAAATAACCCCTTACCTAATCCTTAACAAAAGCATACGCTGAAACCCTATACTAACGAGAAATTAGACTAACTTCCTTATACGTACGGTCATTTCACGTGATGATTTCACATACATAGCTAGGTAGTGCGCCATCGACAGTGAGCCGACTGTGGGATGGTTTTTAGCGCTAATTTCGGCCAGCACAATTTTCTTCAAACAAATAGATATTAAGTATTCTTCCCGACCTCCGATTGCAACAAAAATTGGTAAGCTTACTCATAGACTTACAAGAAATGTATCCGAAAAGTTTAAAGCATATCCAACCATCAAACATTATGTTACAGCTAAAAGCACCGTATTTTGCCCCATTTTGATCACTATATCAACTCCGATATCCACCAAATTTTTCGGACAGTTGTAAAAGCCCTATTGGAAGGTCGTCACCAATTTTCAGAATGATCTCATTCAAGGAACTGAAGATATATCCAAATAATACGACAAAAATAAACGAATTTGGTCAAATTACGCGACTTTTACATCTAATTTTGCTCCAAAAGCCGCGCACCATCAAATATGGCACCTAGCTGCAAAACTCACTAATCTTTCCAAAAAGATATGACAAATTTGGTATTGTGAAAATTCTCACAGTCTCTAGAAAACAATGGTACAAAAAATTTTAAAATCCGAGCAAGTTTATTTTTATGGTGCACCTCCTAACATAGCCATTTGTATACGCATACTGCGTGACGCGCGCTACTGCAAGCGAGAGGGCTTTGGTTAGAGCAACGTGATGATCGAGAAAGTTTTCTGCCAATATTTCGCTAAGGGAGCTGAAACCAGGTTTTCGATCAAACGCTGCCATTTGTAGTCAAACGTCGCCAACAGTTGCTCTCGTCCAATGAAATCGATGCATTTTGCAAGTTATTATGCACCCAGGAAAAGTTACCGGCTGGTGGTGGTACTAGAGTTGGTTTAATTTAAACAGACGGCTCGACCTCGCGCGCGACAGCAAGCATGATTTGCACGCGTGGCGCATTCCAATGTTCAAGCAGCTACCACGTGACACAATTCAGCCTTGTATCACGTGGTGACCCCCACTGTCGCTTCACTATAGTGGAGCGACTATAGCTTCACTATAGCTTCACTATAGTGGAGCGACACCCCTGTAGCGTCTTCGACGCTACAGGGGGAGTCGCGCACTTCGCACTGCGCGGCGGGTCATACAACGTACGACAAATTCAGCCAACCAGAGTACAGGAATCCGCAAAGTTAAAGTTGCAAACTTTTGATCGGCCCGAAAGGGGACTTTTCTGGAGATTTTGAGATAACTCAACAATTACGTTGTCTTGAATTTTCCTCCTGGAGAGGTAACGTTACTTTTAAAAGAGGAACATGTTACAAAAAACCGGAAGTCTCCATCTCTTTTACTTTCAAAGTTAAGCCCCATCCGGTCAGGGTTCCTGGGAGTGTCCGAAAATTTAACGGGTGATACTCGTGACTCGTAAAATATTTGTTCCAACTCAGCTCGGCGCGCGTCCTGGTAGGTTGTAAACCTACAACCGAAAATACATTGATTTAAGTTGGTTTCAACTGTTATGTCGGGGGCCTGTTAAGATGCGTACTCGGGTTTCAGCACGACAACTTTACTTAACGGCCTAATTACTGCTCCAAATTCCCATGACTACTAGAGATTATTTATGTATTATATTTCATTAAATTGGAATGGTATTAATTTAACTACGTATAATGGGCTCCTTTTAACTAGAGTATGGAAATTCACGTTCCGATATTATGGAATACCTCCCGGCTTGAGACTCACTCAGGGCAGAGTTCAAACCCAAACTCCCATGTGTACAAGTGTAGATTATGACAATAATTTATGTATAACTATGGACTTCGAACTTTTAGGTTAATTTATGTCTAGAGTTTTAACTTCGAACTTTTAGATGAATTTATATCTGGAAGATAACCAATTAAAACAAGGGAATATGGATTGTAAAATAATGCAAGACCAATCCAATAGTACATAAAATAAGTGTTCCATCTCATGGTAAAGTCCGTTACCCTAAATCAGTTGGGTAGCTGGGTGATCAATGGGAACTGCAGTGTGTATTTATAACGGGGCTGGCTGACTCTCTCTCTCTGGACGATGGACAGGTACTGGTAGCTTCTAGGATCACTGCGAAATGGAATTGGTAAGAGAACGTAAAGGGGACATATAATTAATTAAGAATCTAATGACACGTTAGGTTGAATAAATCAACATATAATAAAACAATACGTAAATACAACGATAACCAATAATTGAATACACAATGTAAATTAAATCTATAAGTGACTGACCGTGATTGACCTCGTTCTCTCCTAGTCCTACATTCTTTATAACGGCTGGGAACGAGGCACAATCCGCGGGAGGGGTTTGTCCTGAAAAGGGACAAATTATAAGCAAGTGACAGATTAATTAATGACAATAATATACTAACTAGGATAAAATTAAACAAGATAAAGTTAAATAGAGTATTCTGTAGAATACGAAATATGTAGAACGTATCAATTAATGCTCAATGACTTACGAGATAATAAGGTAGGTGGTGCTAAGGTTGGGACAAGCAGGCAGGTTAGGATAGGGCTCACCCACAATATTACCTAGGAAATGATAAACTATTAGGAACTAATTAATAACCAATCGGGAATGACCTTAGTATTACGAACAATGTGAAACAATAATTTGGGAATAACATTGCAATGAACAACATCTAATGAATGGGTTACATAATAATAGAACAATACCTCGAGCAACAAACTTCCTAGCTTAGCTGGAATTTACGGAAGTGACGGGAACCAATTGCAATGTTCTGGTGACTTCTGGTGGGGATGAAAGGATAAGTATTTTAGTCGCATAATATACTAAGGCTTTTGGATCAATGAACTTAATTCTAACCTCACTAAATTAAAACGATCTTTAAGGATACAAACAATAAGGTCAATGATTAAAACAAGGGCTACCAACCTTCTTAATGGACTAGTGACATGGGAGAGAGAGACAGCACACTAAACCACCCCGGGCCGGAGTTGCTGAAGAAGAGCGATGGCAGAAGAAAAGGCAGTGATAAACTTGTCTTCCATCCTTTTGTAGTCCAGAGTGTTCCGTGGAAGGGGAGTTGTGGATGAGGCGGTATAGCGCGTTATCCAGGTAGCAACAAACAGGTTATTACAACAGGTTATTGATACAAATCCCGGTTTTTAAAACTGGTTAAAATACCGTTCCACTAATTGACGAATTCAATAACTCTGTTAATCCAATAATTTCGTTATAAATAATTCTAATAACACTAAATGGCCTTTCTGACCAATGGCTGCAGTGCTCTGCAGATCTCTCCTATCAGATCTTAATCATATAAATGATCACTTAATTCATCTTAATCATATAAGTTAACACCTAATTCATTTTTATGAAACCTTATGTTACGAAGAATATTTGCAAATTTACATGGTTTATTTACCATTTTAATCCACATATTTAACACATGAATTGCAAATGAACGGCATCACTTGGGACCAACTTGACTTCTCAGCTACTACCTACGTCCTCAACATGTCCCCGATCGATTTTAGGACGTCCCCGTCACAACAAAACCATTTATAATTTAAAACTTTATAAAATAATGACCTTTCTTTTTATTTAAAAAAAATTGTACATTTAAAACTAACCGGTACTTTAATTCTTACTTATTTTAAATGTGATAACATATAATTAGAAGATAGGAACTTAGTCTCAACCCAAATATCAGGGACACGGAAGATAAGTTAAAGAATCTTTAGTTGCTATACAACAAGACGTGTTAAATATTGAGAAAGACTAAAGAATAAGGAATAAATTTTGTCCGTATATAGTTTCATCTTAGTACGTTTAAATAATACTTTGTTTTAAAAAAAAAATTTTAATAATGTTTAAATTGTTTAATAAATTTTACGATATATTACGATATATTAACGGATGATAGACTTACAACAGTTTATAGGCAACTTAAATTAAAGTGTAACTAATTACCGCACTAAAATCTATTACATTTATTGAGAAAATTATGTAATGTAACGCGATGGAAGTTATTTAAGCGGTCATTACAGTCCAAACCCTGGACACACGACACAAAAGATTCGCTTTCACTCGGTTACATGAAAAGCATTAATAAGATTATACCCTTAAGGTATATTCACAGAACATAGCGGCAATTCTACAGAATAACCATTCCGTCTGGTCCCAGAAGTTTACTATTTGGTCCAAGCCTTGGCTTGCCATCAGGTTCAAATAAACGTTAGCGCCCCTCGAGATAGAGAGACCACCGTGTCACAATTCGTGTTAAAACCACAAAAACTGACTCTATACAGTGTTAGTGTACGAGGTTAGTGTACGAGAAAGAGGTTAGTGTACGAGAAAGAGGATCTCGACGTGATACAAGGAATCATTACCTTGGATTTGGAACCTTGTTAAAGTCATGTGCCCCATCCCGATTCAATCACGAACTACATGGACTTGTGCTAATCCTTTAAACACTCTTTTACTATACCATGTGGAGTATCATTGCCTCGGAACACAGGCCGACATTATATCTTTAAATTATTAAAATTATATTATCAAATTTTTAAAAAAAAATTATGTTATCGCTTTACATGCAAGGTTTCTAAAGAAGAAATCTAATCCCAAAGAATACAAGTGTTTACTGGTTGTGGGTGTTGGGATGCTCCCCAATTCAGTTCCACGTACCACTAACAGATAATTACAAAATACTTATGTAGAATATTACAGAGACCAGTACTAAGTAACATATCTTTAAATGGCAAACATTTAAAAGATTTAAATGTTTAATAATTTAATAGTTTTAATAGATTTTAAATTTAAAATTATAAGGTGACCTTCTTAATATTATTATGATATCAGATATTTAAATAGAAAAGAGAGGTCGTCTCGACCTTTTAAGAATGGAAGGCGTTGCAATGGTTGAAAGACGAACATGACCTGAAGAAAAATGGGAGAGTCTAACTGACTTTGAAGTAGTTACTCACATAGTCTAAATTCATAACTTTAAAAGATAATTTGAAATACATTTTTGCACTAATAGTTTTAATAGATTTTAAATTTAAAATTATAAGGTGACCTTCTTAATATTATTATGATATCAGATATTTAAATAGAAAAGAGAGGTCGTCTCGACCTTTTAAGAATGGAAGGCGTTGCAATGGTTGAAAGACGAACATGACCTGAAGAAAAATGGGAGAGTCTAACTGACTTTGAAGTAGTTACTCACATAGTCTAAATTCATAACTTTAAAAGATAATTTGAAATACATTTTTGCACTAATAGTTTTAATAGATTTTAAATTTAAAATTATAAGGTGACCACCGTGTCACAACACGCGTTAAAACAAAATTGTTAATTTAAGCTTCTTAATAATATTACTATATCAGATATTTAAATATAAAAGAGAGGTCTCGACTTTTTAAGAATGGAAGGCGTAGCAATGGTTGAAAGACGAGCATGACCCGAAGAAAAATGGGAGAGTCTCACCGACTTTGAAGTAGTTACTCACATAATCTAACTTCATAACTTTAAGAGATAATTTGAAATTAAATTTTTGCACTTCTAATTCTTATCTTCTTACTTACTTATCATTATTATTACTAATAATTTTTTTTTTTTTTTGTTATTCTTTTTTTTTTCTTTTTTTTTTTCTTTTTTTTTTTCTTTAAAAAAAAATAATATAAATTGATTTCATAGGTTTAAACTTTTGATCTAACTAATTTCCCCGAGGGGGAACAGAGGGCGCTACTAGCTGGTTGCCATAATAGGCTGTTGCTAAAGGCTGTGGTAAGTTTGATGGAGCGTAAACCAGGTTTGGATACAGTGGGTTTGCGGGTGTGGAATCAGGAACTTGGTCGTAGGTATGGGGCACTTGTGGTCTTTGTTCCGGGATCTTAAATTTTGAGAATGTATTGTAACAGCTTTTGCCCATCAGTACAGCAGTTAATGCAAACGCTGCATATATCAAAAATTTAAGCCAAGATGGCAGGGTAAATGCATCGGTTGCCCATTGTTTAACAGAATCCAAGGATGGTTCAAAATTCTTTTCTAATTCTTGGATCCGTTGTTGCTGGGTATTTATAATTTCGGAAATTTTCTCTGTTCCTAAAGAGGGGATGGAGAATAATGACATCAAATTTAAATAAGCCTTCTCGTTACTGGTGGACATAGCGATATGTCCATGGTTTTCCGCATTAATTGGGGAATAAACGACTGTTTTATTAAAACTGACCGCGGAAATATTAGTTTGCCATGAAATGAAGAGTGCTCCTGAAGGAGGGGTGGAGATAGTTTTCATTAAAGCTGAAACATAAATGTCAAGCTTGTGTCTAGGTTTATCGTATACTATATCAATGGTAGGGCTCTGCGTTCTTATCAACAAACCCGAGGAAGATGTCAGATAAGAGTCAGGTTGGACAGGACGTGGGCATTGAATTAGCTGGCAATGAAATTTATCCATTTCTGAAGATGTCCGGTTATCTGAGTCTAAGTGATGTAACTTGATACATTCATCCATTGGGATCATATCAAAAGCAGTATTCGGACATATTTTAACATTTCCGAAGGTGGGGCAATGTAACTCCCTTCGGAGTGCAAATAATTGGGTCCCATGTAATATTGCGACACTTGGCATATCGTACCTCAAACAAGTGTCGTGGTTGCTGTCCGGTGTCTGTGCCCAAAATCCATTTTGTTTCACTGTAAAATAGGGGTAAATCGGGTCTCGCCCGAAGTCAGGGTAAGTAATAAGGAAGGTAAATTGTAAGTTATCGAAGTCCGCGTTTAATATACTCGCCATTGCCGATTGATAGAGAATATTAGGGTAACGCCCTAATATTTCGGAAGCTGAGTCAGCCTGATCCTCTATAAATTGTCGCAGCAGACTCGGTTTGATCAGGGTTGGCGTTAAGCGCCCATAAGTTTGGCCTTGGAAAACGAATTGTAACAGTTTTTCTACCTCTGATATAAGTTCATTAGCCCATTGCATGTATGTGAAATGTTTGGCCCAGCATTCAACATTAGATCTGATATCTTCTATTTTAACAGTCATTTCTTCTATATAACTGAGGACACTATGTTGGGTATCTAGTACAACATCAAGCTTATTAGTAGTTAATTTAAACTGGGTTTGTAGTTCCAGGATCATCTGTTCCTGGTCAATCAGATACTTATCTATACGTTCAATTTCGTGTGTATTATATCCAGCTAACCCTAATGCAGCCGTACCAATTACAATTGCTGTACCTGCAACAGCATATGCCCCTATTCCCACAAATCGTTTTCCTCTACCTAGTGTGTTACTCTGGTTACTCATGCCGTGAATTTGACAAATCTCCGGGAGGTTCGGTCTCTCAAAAATAGTGCATATTTCGGCACTGGTGAACATATTTTTTGCTTGGAATATAGCATAGGTAATCTCTCGGTATTTCTCCATTGTTTTGTTGAATTTTTGGTCAACCATGTCCAGCTCTCTCTTACAAAAGTCATTTTCAAAATTATTGTTGTATGCTAATCTGTTTAAAGTTATAATAGCAGTCATCAATTTCATTTGTGGATGGGCAAATATTGTCCCCTCTCTCTCGAAAACTAACCCTCGATTTGGTATAACTATGTAACTTGTCAGTGCATCTAATTCTTTCACATCAACTCCTCCAACTCGTGAAATAAAGAATGTCAGGGTGATCAATGTCCAAATAAGCCGGGAGAGCTTAATTGGTCTGTCCATGACCTTAAAATGGAGTTAAGTTAACAATGATTCATAACTCTTGCCTAAATTTTAATTACAATTATGGATTTATAACTATATATATATATATTATATTTTATAACACTAAGTTCGGCCTCTACATGTTTCTAATATCATAGACACGAATTTTAGCCCATGCCAAATACATTTCCTTACCATCATCTGTTAGTGAGTTTCGTGCCAACCTTAAGTCTATCAATATAAGGTTTAGAATCTTTAAAACGTTTCTACAAAATCGATATTTGGACGATGAGAATCTTCGTTTTGATGGGTCATTAGTTAACAGTAAGGAAGTAATAACTTTTTTTAAGCTTTTAACGAATATAGTGATCTTTATAGGGATATCTGGTGCGTTTGGCAGGCTTGCATTTTCTATTTCGGCAATACCCTCTCTAACGTAGCCTTGGATGCCATACTTCAGAAATATCGAATACATACTGTCAAGTGTTAATTGTGTTATGCAAGTGAGGACAGAAAAATATAAGATATCAGCGTTATTGATTGATAAGATTTTATTAAGTTAAAATAATGAAGTGACAATTTGAAATAAAACACGGTGAGTCCCATGAAAGATTATATAATTATTAGTAGTCTTTTTAAGAAAGAAAATATTATCATGTAATTAGTGGAACAACATACGTTAATTACATTTACAGAAACTTTACTAAACATATCGAATTACACGAGGCCTTTGTCGCAAGTGGTATTTCCCCACACGTCTATTGTTTTGTCTAATGGGCACGTCTGGCCTGTTATGTCGTGCAATTCGTGCATTTTGGCGGTCAACTAATGGTGGTGGTGCATTTTGGCGGTCAACTAATGGTGGTGGTGCACGACATGCTATTATTATAGCTTCGTCTTCAGATTGAATGTTAATGTCATCATCAGTATCCTGTATCTGAGGATCAGTATTTGTGTCGTCATAGATATTGTCTAAATAATGGTTGAGTGTGTCAGTGTCAGCATGAGCCTGTTTTAATCTATTGAAATGGACTATTTCTTCTTTTTTTGTTTTAACATGTTTAATCAAGTACGAAGTGTTGGATTGTTGTTCTAAAACTACATGAGGTCCATCGTATCTACGTTGCCATTTTCGGCTACCCTTTTCAAACTTACCTTTTAATCTCCAGACTAAATCATTAACCTTATACGGTGTGCCATATTGACCTATATCGAACCTGTCTTTAGTAACCTGGATAGATGAGGCCATGTTATCTCTAGCATATTCATGGATCTCGTACAACGTATCCTGTAACCAGTGTACATATTCTAACTCGGGTAAATCTTCTGCTATGGGCGGAGGCCCCCAGGCCATATCTAATGCAACTCGTGCAGATTCGCCGGTAACCATTTGTTGAGGTGTACATTTTGTAGTTGAACTAAACTGGTTATTAAATGCCAACACACTTAACGGTAAGATTGAATCCCACATTTTAGGTTTAGACACTGCAAAATGGCTTACCATTCCTTTTAAGGTTGAAACTAACTTTTCAGCGGCACCGTTTTGTCTAGGAACGTAAGGTAAACTATTTGACTGTTTAATATTAAGAAGGCGGTAAACGTTCCTGATAAGTTCACTAACTAGATTAGATCCTTTGTCACTGTGTATCTCCATTGGACATCCAAAATAAACTATCCATCTTTCAATAAGTACTCTACCAACATTTTCACTGTCAATGTTTGACATAGGTACAGCAAAGGCAAATTTTGTAAAGTGATCGATTCCTAATAATATGTGTTTATTTCCTCTAACAGTACGTGTAAATGGGCCTGCGAAATCAATACTTATTCGTTCAAACTTTGAACTAACACGTGTCATATATAAAGGTGCGACAGGCCTTGTAGACTTAGGTTTTTTATGCATCCCACAACTTTTACACCTTTTTACATAGGTATCAATACTAGACTTCATTTTAAACCAGTGGTATTTAAGTTTCAATATATCGAACATTTTCTGGGCACATCGGTGACCAGCAGTCTCATGATCATGGGTCAACTTAAGGAGTTCAGGTATTTTACTAACAGGTACTAGTATTCTATATTTGTCAGTATGGTCCATATAATATAAGATATTATCTTGCAACTTAAGCTTATTCTTTCTAGCCCAATAATATTTCGCTATAGGTGGATCCATGGTTGCTTGCAAGATCGAGCTATCAGGTAACTCTTGTATTCTTAGTTTAAGTGCTTTAAGTGCCGGGTCCTTATCCTGAGCTGTTGTTATAACATCTACAAAATTCTGGGTAGTGTCTGGAATGTTAATATCGTCAATAGATTCGCTCGTATCTTGATCTAAATTAGTGCTATTAATTTCACAAATTTTGGTCGTATCATCTTGAGGGTCGTAGTTACAGCTTTGACTGGGTGTCTTAACTGTTTTGTCTATTGTAGTAAGTAAGGACGGATCAAATGTTTCATCGTCTGAAAGTACAGCGTATTTTAACGTATCATTATCGGCGGATGGCCTTGACAGTGCGTCTGCTACTTTGATTAACCCATTTGTGGCGGGTTTATGTATTATTTTGTACGAATAACTTTCCAATATAGATATCCAGCGTTGAACAAGGGCACTAGGATCTTTAAAATTATGCAAATATTCTAGGCATTTGTGGTCACTTTGGATTAAGAATTCTTTTCCAACTAAATATTGTCTAAAATACTGGACATAAAAAGTTACTGCATATAGTTCTTTTTTTGTGGCGCCATACTTCTGTCTAGACTGTTCCATCAAGTGGCTAGCGTAAGCAATGGCACGTCTCCCCCCTTCACGTTCTACAGTAAGTACACAACCTATAGCTTTTTCAGCAGCATCTGTGGTGAGAATAAACGTATCATCCTCTCTGGGTAAGGCCAGAATTGGTGGGTTCGACAGTCTAAATTTTAGCTCATCAAAGGCAGCTTGTGCCTCGGGATTCCAAACAAAATCTTTCTTATCTACTACGGCAAGTTTAAACAGTGGAGAAGCAATGCTAGAATAATCCTTACAGAATCGCCGGAAGTAGTTCATTGTGCCTAAATATGAACGGAGTGATTTAGGGGTTGTTGGATTAGGTAGATTTTTTATGCACTCTATTTTCTTTTCTGAATAAGTGATTCCATTTTCTGAGATTTCGTATCCTAAAAATTCTATTTTAGACGCAAATAATGTGGTTTTCTGGGCTTTCAACTTTAAGTTATGGTCTGTTAGCAATTGTAAGACTTGAAGTAAGTTTTTGAGGTGAATTTCAAATGTAATACCTAATACGAGAATATCGTCTAAGAAACAAAGTATGCTGTTAGGGTCTGTTGATTTCAACATATTTGTGATAGCTCTAACAAAGCTTGAAGGTGCGTTGGACAGGCCGAATGGAAGAACTATAAACTCGAGAAGAGCAGTAGGGGTAGAAAAGGCGGTAATTTCTACATCTGTGTCACGTATTTTCAATTGGTAGAACCCAGAAGCTAAATCTGTGGTAGAATAGTACTTAGAGTATTTCATGTTTCCTAATAAATGATTAATGTTAGGCAAGGGAAAGCTATCTTTCTTTATACATTTATTGATCGCACGATAGTCCACGCACATCCTCCAACTATTATCCGATTTCTTTACCAAACAAATGGGTGAACTCCATGGTGAACGTGAAGGTCTAATTAAACCTCTTTTAAGCAAATCGTCAATTATGCCGTCAACGGCTTTCTGTTTATCTACTGTTAGTGGCCTAGGTCGCTGGCTGATAGGTTCATGGTCTCCAACTTCTAGGTGGTGAAGATAATCTTTCATTAAGCCCAGTGGTTCATCAGATAATGCAAAGCAAAATTCATACTTTTTCAGGGCTGTAAGTGCAATCTGTTTTTCTTGCTCGCTCAACTGCCATTGATCAACTTTTAAAATAGAACACAGCTCCTTCCATCTAGTTTCTCTTTCTGTTTCAGTAATATCTAGATTATAAGTACTATTGACTGTCATGGCAGGGTTATATTCGGTTTCAACAGGAATACCAGTGAGATGTGCTGTTTCATAGATTTCAATGGAACCTAGGTCGTCTCCTTTATGCACATTAAACTCATCATCAGTACAATTAGCGAACAGAATTGACAGTGAATCATGGTTATTCTCATCTCTATATACTTTTTGCGCCATGTGGTCGGAGTTATTAGGATAAAATAAGACAGTGTTCTCAGCATCTATTGGTATATCACATACATTAACAATGTTAATCCATGTAGCGTGGTGAGGCAAAATGCTGTAATCTGATATGCTTTGTACAGTGTTCACGGTTACTGCACCTGCTACATCATCAGGGCTCAAGGATTGTGATGGCTTAATCAAAGGGACGTTAGCCTCATGAGGACCTGATATAGTTACAATTCTATTTTTCAAATTCACTATAAGTTCATTTTCCTGAATAAATGGATTTCCTAACACTAGATCTGATCCGATATCAGCGACAATGAAATCTACTGGCCTTGACTTATCATGAAATGACACGTTAATCTTACTCTCTCCTCTGACAGTAATCGGAGACTTATTAATTCCACATAACTGGATGGATGTAGGATGTGCGTTATTCAAACTGAGTTGATCAAAGAGGTTGGAATTAATTATGTTAGCACTAGACCCTGTGTCTAGTAGACTGTGAATGGTTTTCTCTCCGATAGTTACTAGAATATGAGGCAACTGGTTATTAGTTGCACTATTAACAGTTAGTGGACAATTAACAACATTGGATTTAGGTGCGTGAGTATCGGTATTTGTAAAATTAGTGGAGTCAATCAACTCATTAACGCTAGCCTTAACGGGTGGATTTGGATTTCTAGGAATGTCCGGACTAATTAAATCTTCGCAGGGAATCTCAGAATTTCTAAGAAACTCAGAGTTACTAATGCCGATATCGGGAATCACAGAATTTCCAGGAATTTGAGGGCAGCTAATGTCATTACCAGGAACCACAGAATTTCCAGGAATTTGAGGGCAGAGTACGTCATTATCAGGAATCACGGGATCAGAATTTGTAGGAATGTCGGAGCTGTCCGGTATAACTGTCGGTGTGTCATTAAAATGTACATATTTGTTAGTGCGTTCTGGTAGTGTTGGAAAATTGGAAGATATACTGGATGTCGAGTCCTTAAAATCATCGTGTATATCTGGGTTTAAGGCCTCCTCGATAAAGAAGGCCTCCTCTAAAAATTTTTATGGTACTGTCTCTGATTTTGAGGATAAGAAAATCTGTTCGGCCTTTGTTGAAACTGAGTAAACGATCTCGGACGGTACTGTGGTCGGCCGTGACCTCTAAAGTCATTTTGAGAGAAAGAAGGGCCTTGTCGATAGTTGGTCTGTGTGTTTTGTCTGTTATATGAGCCTGGTCGTGAGTAAGTATTTTGTTGATAGTAACTGGGGTTTCGGTATCTATTGTCATTGTAGGAACTGGGGTTTCGGTACCTACTGTCATTGTAAGAACTGGGGTTTCGGTATCTACTGTCATAGTAGGAACCTTGGCCTCGTCCTCCACGGTAATAGTTGTTGTAACGAGCATTTTGTCCGTAATAGGCCATGTTGTTATAGTTGTTGGATTGTTGTTCAGGGTAATTTGTGTTAGGTAGTCCGATGCTTACTCGTGATCCTTGGTAATTGTATGGGAGATTGAGGCCATTATTGTAAGCGGGAGTATCAGTATGTGTGTTTACAGGCTGAACTTCACGTGGTGCGACTTGGCTGATTGCATTAACAGATAGTAAATCTATAATAGTGTTTAACTTATTGGTCGTATCATTAATGTCCGGCGTGACGGCTGTATCCACAGCGTTGACAGCTTGGGTCCTAGATAGGGAAGCGTTTTTGCAGTTGATCAGCAGGTCTGCCCTCTCTAAAAGTTGTTCATTTTGAAGCTCAGGTGTTTCTCTAAGTCTGGCACTGATATTGGCATCCTGTATGTTATTTATGAAGCTATCTCTTAGTGCATTGTCCCTCACAAGTACTAACTCGTCTCCGGGGTAGGCCTTCTTAGCAATGCTGTATAATTTAATATAGAAAGCTCTCACAGACTCATTACGTTGGCGCAGGGTCTTCCTCAGTAAAGACTTCGACTCTTCCCTATTTCCTCCTCCGATCCCTAATTCTCTCCTCAGCACTATCAACAATTCCTCAAAGGTAATCTCTGGTCTTATATGCCTCTCTACCGCGAGTAGACACTCATCCGATAAACAATTTATGAGAATGTGAGGTATCTCGTTATCTCTAGCTCCGATACTATCGACATAGCTCTGGAAACGCCGGATGTATAACTCTAAGTCATTGTCCATTCTTAACAAAGGAGGTGCTCGGAGAAATTGAAGTGGGGCTCCCTGATTAACACGATTTTGCCTAGGAGGTATCGGAGGTTGAACTTCACCCTGTCCAATATCGAGGTTGTCATTATCACGTTCGGCCATTCCTATTTTTGATGTTTTTTTTTAGAGGTAAATACTTAAGCTAATGTGTTCAAATAATGTATGTGAGCATTGCACAATTTTTCACTATTCCTAAGCATGATGTGTACTATATGTGAAGAGAATGGTGGAGAGATGCAAGATTTTGGTAAGCATAGGCAGTTAACTTAAATTCGCGCTACTCCGGAAGTCTTGGAATCTTACTTGGTGAAACTTATTCCACAAGGTTGCAAACTTAACGCGAGTTGAGGAACATTCACACAACGGTCACCAGAGACCTAATTGCGGAGCTACCCCAACAAGGCCTTTCATGGCAGTCTGCTTCCAGGCTGGAACTTCGAAACACCTAACTTAAAGGCGCAAAATTCCAAGCTTCAATAAAACAAATAATTTAGAATAATCAAATAGCAATAACTACGGCTGATGATCAATAACTCCATTTCGTTTCTTGCTATTATGATCTTTACAGTAATGACATGTTCATGACCGATCAAATTTTTTTTATAGTGTATTTTCTCACAAAAGCATGGCCTCAAAATGTCTGCAAATAATTATCTATTGAAATGATTAAATAGTGTAAGTGGAGCTATTGAACATCACCGGACAATGTTAGAACTTGTGTTGTGCGAATTTCCTGGTCTACATTTCTAAAAATAACTATAAGCTTCCAACTACACGTAAAAATAATCTTGACTAAAATTTAAGAATAATAAACTAATTTGGCTATTCTTCGATCAGCCGTTAACCTCTTATTCGCACAACATCAAGCTTGAAAAGGTAACAAGAACGATCTGAACGGCTGTAACCTCTTTAATGTAAGTTTAATTTGAATATAGTGTGAGGGGTTAATTTTACTGAATGTGGAACGACACAACCAAATATACTTATTCTAAGAATCAGGTGAAGGAAAGAAGCCGCTCAAATCATTTCTGCTATCTAATAATGCTGAACGTTTTTTAGAAAAAATAAAATCAAAGCATGGAGGTGGGGTATAAATGTAGTCGGCTCCATATCTATTACAAAAAAGCGACTTGAAAAAAAAATAAGTTCCCCACAGAGACTGTATCATATAGTCATAAACGTTTTTTTGTTCCTGAGTATAATTACTCCAAATCATGTCCTTATGCCTTACAAACTGTTCTTTAGAGACCCCTGGATATTTCCTAACAAACTCATAGTATTTAATGTCCCCGTAAGTTAAGAAAAGCCAGTACTTAGATTTGCTATGTTTGTTAGAATTCATACTTGCGAAAATGCAACAACACGTCATGCTATTTTGACTTTCTAGTGAGGGTGCTCCTGTTCTCTGGATTTGGGCAGTAACTAGTTGCTTGCAGAAGCATTTAATCCAGCGAAGTTTATTTGGTCCTCTTTCGTTAGATATGAAATGAGCGATACTGTTATCTACAACGTTTTTCAACTGTTGGCTACATACTCTCACCTCAGAGATGGTATAAAAGTCTCCTTCCGCTGTGATTAAATCTATTATCTTTGAGATAACGTCCAGGTTTAGTACTGCTGATCGTTTCCGTCTCCATTGTTCCTGGCAGTCCCTGTATTTGTGTCCTTTGCTGTTACAGGCAGTGCATCTCCGTATTGTCATCCTTTTCCAACTTAATCCTGATTTAAATAACTAAGTTTTATATTTTAAAACAACGTGATAATAATCTAACTAAAACTCAAGAAGAAGTAAATACTGTGCAGTCATAGCCTTCAACCCCCCAAATAACCACTAACTTCACACTACTCTTTAATCTACTTATCAAAACTCTTCCGCATTCCCACTTCACTGAAGCTTGCTGACAATCTTGATTTCAAATTTCAGATGGCTCCTCGTATAGGGCACTTTTAAACCACCAAGCACCCTTTGTATGGTGGCATACAATTCACAAGGTTCCCTCTTACTAATTGAACCAACGCCTTATCAACAACCATTCAGCCCATCTTCCCATAACTTAACACATCTTAATATCTCAAATCTCATAATCTCATAATCTCGTAGTCGTATAATCTTTATCAAATATCTTTCGCTTCATTCATCTTTCACTTCTTTTTACAATATACGGCCGTATATTATCTACAATATTTATCACCACATTCCCTTCACATCATAATTTCTATAACCCCCCGTTATCATCACATCGTCATCTCTTTTACTGCAATTACTACAAAATCTCATCATATTCATCCCTCTTTCCCCAACATCATCACATCTTATCTCGCAATTTTCCCACAATATCTCATCATATTCATCCCTCTTTCCCCCACATCATCACATCTTATCTCGCAATTTTCCCACAATATCTCATCATATTCATCCCTCTTTCCCCAACATCATCACATCTTATCTCGCAATTTTTCCACAATAATAAATTTCCCCTTAATTTACCTCTTTACTGTCTCTCATCATCACGGCTATGCTGCAACAAGTAATTACTATCAATGAAAACTAACTAAACGGTATGTACTAAAAAAAATGAAAATAAAAATAAAAGTGCTCTAAAGGCAAACTAAGGTTTGGTGTCTCTTCCAGATTTTTTGAAATTTTTGCTTAGAAAATTTGTACAGAGAGAGCCGCATTGGGCTCCATTGTTAAGATGCGTACTCGGGTTTCAGCACGACAACTTTACTTAACGGCCTAATTACTGCTCCAAATTCCCATGACTACTAGAGATTATTTATGTATTATATTTCATTAAATTGGAATGGTATTAATTTAACTACGTATAATGGGCTCCTTTTAACTAGAGTATGGAAATTCACGTTCCGATATTATGGAATACCTCCCGGCTTGAGACTCACTCAGGGCAGAGTTCAAACCCAAACTCCCATGTGTACAAGTGTAGATTATGACAATAATTTATGTATAACTATGGACTTCGAACTTTTAGGTTAATTTATGTCTAGAGTTTTAACTTCGAACTTTTAGATGAATTTATATCTGGAAGATAACCAATTAAAACAAGGGAATATGGATTGTAAAATAATGCAAGACCAATCCAATAGTACATAAAATAAGTGTTCCATCTCATGGTAAAGTCCGTTACCCTAAATCAGTTGGGTAGCTGGGTGATCAATGGGAACTGCAGTGTGTATTTATAACGGGGCTGGCTGACTCTCTCTCTCTGGACGATGGACAGGTACTGGTAGCTTCTAGGATCACTGCGAAATGGAATTGGTAAGAGAACGTAAAGGGGACATATAATTAATTAAGAATCTAATGACACGTTAGGTTGAATAAATCAACATATAATAAAACAATACGTAAATACAACGATAACCAATAATTGAATACACAATGTAAATTAAATCTATAAGTGACTGACCGTGATTGACCTCGTTCTCTCCTAGTCCTACATTCTTTATAACGGCTGGGAACGAGGCACAATCCGCGGGAGGGGTTTGTCCTGAAAAGGGACAAATTATAAGCAAGTGACAGATTAATTAATGACAATAATATACTAACTAGGATAAAATTAAACAAGATAAAGTTAAATAGAGTATTCTGTAGAATACGAAATATGTAGAACGTATCAATTAATGCTCAATGACTTACGAGATAATAAGGTAGGTGGTGCTAAGGTTGGGACAAGCAGGCAGGTTAGGATAGGGCTCACCCACAATATTACCTAGGAAATGATAAACTATTAGGAACTAATTAATAACCAATCGGGAATGACCTTAGTATTACGAACAATGTGAAACAATAATTTGGGAATAACATTGCAATGAACAACATCTAATGAATGGGTTACATAATAATAGAACAATACCTCGAGCAACAAACTTCCTAGCTTAGCTGGAATTTACGGAAGTGACGGGAACCAATTGCAATGTTCTGGTGACTTCTGGTGGGGATGAAAGGATAAGTATTTTAGTCGCATAATATACTAAGGCTTTTGGATCAATGAACTTAATTCTAACCTCACTAAATTAAAACGATCTTTAAGGATACAAACAATAAGGTCAATGATTAAAACAAGGGCTACCAACCTTCTTAATGGACTAGTGACATGGGAGAGAGAGACAGCACACTAAACCACCCCGGGCCGGAGTTGCTGAAGAAGAGCGATGGCAGAAGAAAAGGCAGTGATAAACTTGTCTTCCATCCTTTTGTAGTCCAGAGTGTTCCGTGGAAGGGGAGTTGTGGATGAGGCGGTATAGCGCGTTATCCAGGTAGCAACAAACAGGTTATTACAACAGGTTATTGATACAAATCCCGGTTTTTAAAACTGGTTAAAATACCGTTCCACTAATTGACGAATTCAATAACTCTGTTAATCCAATAATTTCGTTATAAATAATTCTAATAACACTAAATGGCCTTTCTGACCAATGGCTGCAGTGCTCTGCAGATCTCTCCTATCAGATCTTAATCATATAAATGATCACTTAATTCATCTTAATCATATAAGTTAACACCTAATTCATTTTTATGAAACCTTATGTTACGAAGAATATTTGCAAATTTACATGGTTTATTTACCATTTTAATCCACATATTTAACACATGAATTGCAAATGAACGGCATCACTTGGGACCAACTTGACTTCTCAGCTACTACCTACGTCCTCAACAGGGCCCTTTTAGAACAATCTCGAAGATCGACTGAATTAAAGTGATTAAGCTTGATTGACGATGTCAATCCGCGTCCGTCGCGAAGCAGAGCAACGCTCGAAGCAGAGCAATTTTGCGCGGCGCGTCGAAGCGGCGAAGTCCTCCAATGATTAAGCACGCTTGTACCTGCAACCTGGGGACCCCAACACCCAAGTTTACAAGTTATTATTTTTATAAACATAAAGAGAATAGAGATACGGTGGGATTTGACATTTGATATGTATGAACAATGAAATATGGGATCGTTCACATATTACGAAATCATTTTCAATTTCACTTCCCCCTGTATTATCAGTTTTACACATAGCTATTTTAGCTTTAAAAATAATATTCCAAGTGGTTTGTATTAAAGTGCATATATTGATTTTGAATAAATTGTGAAAGATTGGATCTCGATTCATGTTGTATCACGTGGTGACCCCCACTGTCTTCGACGCTACAGGGGGAGCCGCGCACTTCGTGCGCGGCGGGTCATACAACGTATGACAAGATTCATGAAGTTAAGAAAAATGTTGTTGCTTTCTTGAAATTTATTGTTTTCTTGAACTAAACAGGGAATTGTTATGAAAACACTGAAATTGAACATTTATCAAAAATTACCACGGCACTATTCGATGTGAATATAAGATTCACACTCCTAGATCATAAAAAGTCGAGGAGTGTTTGATAGGCGAGGGCCTGAACTACATCTTGTTGTGATGTGCATTTATGAAATTTTATTTTTAGTTGACAATTTTCAAAGTTACAAAGTGGTTTATTTTCTACCCGTTTGTATTTATTAATTCATTAATGGAATTATAGGTGTCTAACCTCATAGTTAGACTATTGAGAAAAGAAATTTTTTTGAGAAAAGACAATTTTATTATTTTTCACCAATTCAATACACAATCAATCAATAAATTTATATCCGAATAAACTTGATTTCAAAGTAAATGATACTAGTATGCTAAGTTTTACCATTGCTTAATTTATATGCATATTATTTGAAATACTGCGATGTAGTGAAGCATGTGAAAACGAGGATAAGATTTGTAATGTTGAGAACAACTCTTATTGCTCTACTAGGGTACAGAGGAAAGAAGGTGGAAACCAAACATGAGACCCCTTTATCAGAAGTCTCATACAACCTCATCCCTGCCCCTATAATCGAGTAGATCGTTTCTTGAAACTTGTGTTTATATTTGATAACCACATATACATGGGTGGGACATAAGCACATTATTTCATTTCATTTCATGCGCTAATCTTACTAATTATTTTTATCAATGAGTGCCTGCCTGATTGAGATACTTTTGTCTGGTATGACTTGCTACTATCACTCATTCGAGGAATACATCGAATCAAAGAATATTCATTTTGACAGTTTCTCAGATGGCTGAAATATGAAGCATAATGAGTTAATTCATTACGTGTGATCAAGTGATTGCATTGACATTAAATCTGCATTATGGGAACCGTGCAGAGAGCCCAATTACAGTGCCGTAGCAAGCTATCACATGATTAGTGATTGGGTAATCATTGATGACTCAATCAATTTTGCTAACAAGATAAACAAATTGCTTGATAACTTCGTCATTCAACATCATATCCGTTTTACCTCATCTTTTCTGATCATATTCCTGATTTCGTCACGACTTTTAGCAATATGTTACTTGTGGAATTTCTAACATGTTTATAGAACAAACTGAAAGTAATGGATCACTGCACACTGAACGCCACAAAAGTCTTGTTGTTAAACTATTTTTTAACTGTTTACCACTCCCATCAGGATACAACAAACATGGCAAACCGAGATTTGATTGACATACACAAAGATAATTTGTATGACATACTTGGAGTTGCTCATGATGCTGCAGTAAAAGATATCAACAGATCATACAAAAAGCGTGCTTTAAAAGTCCATCCCGACAAGAATCCAGATCCAGCAGCTCACAAGATATTTTTGAAGTTGACTCAAATTTTGGAGTTACTCACTAATCCTGAAAGTAGGCAAAGTTATGATACCGTCCTTAAGGCCAGAGAAGCTGCAAGGTAAGTAAATAATAAATAAATAAATTCTAATATTTATTACAAGCTTCGACATTAAAACGCTCCCAACGAAGATGTATTTTTAAGGATCATAGACTAGTATGCCAACTTCAGGACATAACCATGTCATAACCAGGACAGTCAGGCGTCACAACCATGTCATAACAAATTGTGATGATAAATTCAAAATCGGTCACTAGCCTAGCTGGCTAATGACCGCTTTTGAATAGTCGGCTATTGACCACTTTTTAATTGTGACTTGGTTATGACCTGGTTAGTTGGGAATACAATGTTTTTAGGGCATTATATATATGAATAATACTTAACCTAAAGCATTTTGTTAAAGAAGTAATCTTCAACAAACAAGTTATAGTATAGTAATTGGATATAATGTTTTAATGTATAATCTTCTAAAACATTTGGGCAAAAATTGATAAGACTTTGATGTCGTAAGAATCTTCTTAACTCTTTTTTTTGGCTATCTGCATCATTAATTATTGTAAATTGATTTCAAAGCAAGATTTTATATTATATATTTTTAAGATTGCGCACAACAAAGTTAGATGCCAAACGTAGAAAATTGAAAGAAAGTCTGGAAAGTAAGGAAAATGGTGAAACGTCTTGTACCTCATTACGAAAAGCAGAAAAGTTGTTGCAAGAAACAATAGATAAATTGCAAACTGAAGGTTGGTTTTTATCCTTGTGACTTATTTAGTTTCGTAATGTAGTTTTTTAAGTTTAAAAAAATCCTTATCACTATCCTTAAGGAAATAGTGCCTGATAATGAATGTAATTTTACTTCAAAAGGGTAAAAACAATTTTAAAATGCAGGTGAAAACTTGCTGAAAAGAGAAGAAGAAAAGTTGCGTCAGGAATTCTCAGCAAAAACAAATTTTGTTATTGCAGATAAGGCCACTCTAAAACTTAAGTGGAAATGTAAAAAAGAAGATACCAGTAACGGAGGATACAGTACAGTTATCCTAAGACAATTTCTTCAAAAATATGGACCTGTTAGTGACATAGTTGTGAATTCTAAAAGAAAGGGGTCTGCACTTGTTGTTTTCAACTCAATAGCTGCTGCAAAAATTTGTATGCAGAAAGAAAAAGGGTTAGAGGCATGCCCGCTATCATTCAGAATGTTACATGAGACTGATACATCTGACATCAAACAGCCATCTCCTCGGACAGACAGTACAAACTCTCAAAGCTATGTGCCATTTCAGCCATCAGAACCTGGCAAATTTGCCTCATTTCCTAGTTTCAATGTCAGTCCTAACATAGCCAGTTTTAACGGAAATGGTGTCGACAAGGACTATGAATCTTTAACTCTCATGAGGTTAGAAATTGTTCAATTTGTATCAATTGAACGTCCTGTGATTGACAGAATGATGAGTGATAACGTTCTTATTACATGGCCAATGCTATGCATTCTTTTGAAGATCTTTAATTCTTTTAATATTTCCTTTAATTAAAAGTTTTAAATGTTTTAATCTCTTAATCCTAGGCTAAGACAAGCGGAAGAAAGAAAGCGACTGATAGAACAGATCCAACAGAAAGACGACCATGATGGGGATGGATTGTGAAAATGTTAAAAAGCCTAGAATTTAGGAAGCAGAAATCGATCAATTTTATTGACAAAAATTTAGCTATGTTGTTGTAAGATTTATAAATAATTATAAATATATATTCTGAATTGATATATTCACGCCATTTATTTACCTCTCAAATTTTGATCAATTTTATCAAGTAAATGAAATTTGTCTACCTGTTTTGTTAATCCTTTCAAGTTTACACCATATAAATTAATATCCTAAAGGCAGCTATATATATAAGTTCAGTTAACAACAAGACGTATGGAGTCAAGTCTGGATCAGGTAGGCTTCTTCCATATTTTCAGTCTTCGATTTGTCTTTACATACTATTTAGAAAGGTTAGCCTTATCATGTGACGACTATAACTAGTCTATCAATTTGACGAATGTTACTATATCCCAAACACGGTTGCTAAACGTTTTGTGTCACCAGTTTACGTTTAAAATGAGTCCACCAGCAGTATTAACAAAGCCTATCACTTCAGTTTACGTTTAACATCAGTCCACCAGCAGTATTAACAAAGCCTATCACTTCAGTTTACGTTTAACATCAGTCCACCAGCAGTATTAACAAAGCCTATCACTTCAGTTTACGTTTAACATCAGTCCACCAGCAGTATTAACAAAGCCTATCACTTCAGTTTACGTTTAACATCAGTCCACCAGCAGTATTAACAAAGCCTATCACTTCAGTTTACGTTTAACAGCAGACCGGCAGCTGCAAACTTCCAGCCCGGCTGTAAAGACCAGGGAAGACCGGACAAGGAACAGTTCAAGTACACAGTGATCATATGCAACAACACATGCTCTGTTTGCCAGTACTGTCATATCAAGGTTACTATCTCAGTTATTCAATCATTTACCCTCATTTAACCTCGCTACCTTGCTTAAACTAATACAGTTCAGTCTGTAACCACAACTAACATTTCTGCTACAAAGCTACAAACATATTATGTACCTATTAAGTACATACTATGGGATAAAACATTAATTAAGTACTATGGGATAAAACATTAATTAAAGTTTCGTTATCTGGTGGATTCGTGTAGTGTTTTTGAGTCTCATGATTTGATAGTTCTTTTATTCAAATTTCTGATTGTTTCTGAATAGACTCAGTGAAGACAGATTCTAATGGAAATAAATAGCTGAATAACGTATCGACATTTCTACGTCATACTCATATTCTGAAATAGTATTAATTCAATTATAACGATCAATATTCACATTAAAAATTTGACGACGAAATTTATTTCAAACAAAATATATAACTGTAAAATAGTTATCAACCGTAAATAGTTTTTAACGAAATCGGAGCAAATATGAACATAAAACTGACAACATTTATCAAATAGGGCTCATCTGAAAATTAACGAATAGCGTGACGTTATACAGGAGATAAAAGATTAAAAGAGATAAAAGAATTAAACGAGAATATTACTATTTACACGTCACTCAGCTAAAAACTGTGTTAGATTGTTCAACTCTGTTTTATCGTTGAGTGTTGGTTTATTTTCAACTAAAAATCGGGCTTCTTTAATCTTTCTGTTGATGAGTGATGTTCCTCTATCTACGATTTGAAGTTTAAGTTTTGGGGGGCCTTTGTGCTGAGGGTGACTTTCCCTGTAGTGCTTTGCTAGTGGCTTATCTTCGTAAGATTTTGCTGTTGGATTTGCCGCACTACGGTAATGCTCGTCGAACCTGCACTTGATCGGTCTGTATGTTTCCCCACCATAGTTCTCGGTACAATTGTCTACTTCGCAAGTGATGTGGTAGACGGTATTAGTTGTGGTGCATTCTCCATCGGTTAAAGCTGCGCATGTTCTGCAGTTTGATGTTGTACAGGATTTCTTGTCAAGGGGTCTGGAGTCTGTAAGGAGATCCTTCAGTTTCCGTCCAGGTTTCTCGACAATTTTGATGGGGAGTCCACTATGTCTGACAGCATCTCTGTATTTGCGACTAGTAGCTTCGTTGACATAGGGTAGTTTGAGAATCGCTCCGTCTTGGTCTTTGTTCTGTACGTTCTGATTAATTCTCTTTCTACGTTTTCTCTTGTTCTTTATGGTTTCTAAGACTCTATCAGTGTAGCCGTTGTTGATGAGAAGTTTATCTATCATCTTTTCTGAGTACTTCTCGTTTTCTCTGTTGTTAGAGACTGCCTTTGCGGTGTTGTACATACTCTCAACAGTAGCATTCTTTGTACGTGTTGTATGATGAGAGTTGTAGTGGAGGGTGAGTGGCTTTTTCTGTGGTTTTCTGTAGAGTCTAGAATGTACTATTCCATCTGAGTCGATCTTTATTTCCGTGTTGAGGAAGGGAACAAAGTCGTTCTGATTGTCAGGGTAGTCTACAGTTAGTTTGATAAGTTTGTCAGGATCTTGTTGTTCGATGAGGTTGCACAGTTGCTGAGCTTTTCGTCTGTTGGTGGTGGCTCCGTTTAGATCGTCGTAAAACCTGCTGTAGGTGGGCAGTGTTATCCTCAGGTCTACGTAGACTGAAAGTTTTTCCAGTTTCCACATTTTGACAGTAGCTAGTATAGGTGCAGGGTTGGTTCCCATGAACAGGGTTGGTTCCCATGAACAATCCAACATTCAAGAACATTGCCAAGAGTCGTAATCTCCCTCAAGATGTTACTAACCTGTTAATGAGCCATCACACCACCCTCGCTACTGCAAGAGTGATGCTTAAAACCCACAAATACACAAGTGATGAGATCAAGACTCTTAACCCTGACACAATGAAAACTAGACCTATTGTTTCAGGCTGCAACTCCCCTTTCCACAAAATCCTTTGGTTCGTCTGTCACATTCTATCTCCTCTGATGAATCTAGTACCTTCTCATTTGAAAAACACTCACGATTTTCTTCGAAGGATTAGAAACATCACACCAAATGATCTGAAGAGTCTTACTTTCTTTACAGCAGACGTCGAAGCTTTATACACCAATATCAACGTACTAACAGCAATAGAAGATGTCATGGAATTTGCCAAAGAAAATAGACAGTCAATCAGTACATACGGTCTCCATCTCTCTGATTTACAAGAACTACTAGAGACAACCCTAGGAAAGTCATATTTTGTCTACAACAATCAAGTCTACCTACAGCTTCTTGGATTGTTCATGGGAACCAACCCTGCACCTATACTAGCTACTGTCAAAATGTGGAAACTGGAAAAACTTTCAGTCTACGTAGACCTGAGGATAACACTGCCCACCTACAGCAGGTTTTACGACGATCTAAACGGAGCCACCACCAACAGACGAAAAGCTCAGCAACTGTGCAACCTCATCGAACAACAAGATCCTGACAAACTTGTCAAACTAACTGTAGACTACCCTGACAATCAGAACGACTTTGTTCCCTTCCTCAACACGGAAATAAAGATCGACTCAGATGGAATAGTACATTCTAGACTCTACAGAAAACCACAGAAAAAGCCACTCACCCTCCACTACAACTCTCATCATACAACACGTACAAAGAATGCTACTGTTGAGAGTATGTACAACACCGCAAAGGCAGTCTCTAACAACAGAGAAAACGAGAAGTACTCAGAAAAGATGATAGATAAACTTCTCATCAACAACGGCTACACTGATAGAGTCTTAGAAACCATAAAGAACAAGAGAAAACGTAGAAAGAGAATTAATCAGAACGTACAGAACAAAGACCAAGACGGAGCGATTCTCAAACTACCCTATGTCAACGAAGCTACTAGTCGCAAATACAGAGATGCTGTCAGACATAGTGGACTCCCCATCAAAATTGTCGAGAAACCTGGACGGAAACTGAAGGATCTCCTTACAGACTCCAGACCCCTTGACAAGAAATCCTGTACAACATCAAACTGCAGAACATGCGCAGCTTTAACCGATGGAGAATGCACCACAACTAATACCGTCTACCACATCACTTGCGAAGTAGACAATTGTACCGAGAACTATGGTGGGGAAACATACAGACCGATCAAGTGCAGGTTCGACGAGCATTACCGTAGTGCGGCAAATCCAACAGCAAAATCTTACGAAGATAAGCCACTAGCAAAGCACTACAGGGAAAGTCACCCTCAGCACAAAGGCCCCCCAAAACTTAAACTTCAAATCGTAGATAGAGGAACATCACTCATCAACAGAAAGATTAAAGAAGCCCGATTTTTAGTTGAAAATAAACCAACACTCAACGATAAAACAGAGTTGAACAATCTAACACAGTTTTTAGTTGAGTGACGTCACGTAAATAGTAATATTCTCGTTTAATTCTTTTATCTCTTTTAATCTTTTATCTCCTGTATAACGTCACGCTATTCGTTAATTTTCAGATGAGCCCTATTTGATAAATGTTGTCAGTTTTATGTTCATATTTGCTCCGATTTCGTTAAAAACTATTTACGGTTGATAACTATTTTACAGTTATATATTTTGTTTGAAATAAATTTCGTCGTCAAATTTTTAATGTGAATATTGATCGTTATAATTGAATTAATACTATTTCAGAATATGAGTATGACGTAGAAATGTCGATACGTTATTCAGCTATTTATTTCCATTAGAATCTGTCTTCACTGAGTCTATTCAGAAACAATCAGAAATTTGAATAAAAGAACTATCAAAGTTTCGTTAATTATCTCGACCCCAAAATTGCACTGTTTCTACATTTTTTTACACCATACATGAAAAAAGGCAAAAGTGTAGTGTAAAAAAGTGTAGTGAACTTAAATCTTAAAAATTTCGTTTTTCTTACTGGGACTGAACTAGCGGTGAAGGAAATATCAATATATTGTTTCGTATTGTTTCAAGCTTATTAATTGAAGAATATTTTTCTGAGTAAGAACCATCCTAGATAAAGCAGCAAGACCTGATGCTGATGACGAAGTCTCAGAGGACGACAAACGATGCATCGAACACTCCATGCTTTTATGGCTTCCATTGTGACTGCTTTTTTTTGTTAGTCAATTCAAACTTATTTAAAAAATACGAAATCACACAAAACAAAGCCAGCGGGCACCATTTGCATTTTATCGTAATGCAGCCGATAGCAATACTAGATCGCTCTCATTCAAGTATTAAACATTCCAGAAGTGAATAAAAAACTATTTTGCAGGTCATCAAACGTTCTTAAAAGCTCTACAGAACTGTATGGGTTTAACAGTCTTTCTAAATACCATCGACATTACATCGCTAGAAAAAGTGAGTACTCCTCCTGATCCTTGACATTACATGGCTTGAAAAAGTGAGTACTCCTCCTCGACATTACATGGTTAGAAAAAGTAAGTACTAAACATTCTATTTTCAGTATCAAAGTCGCAGTCAAAGGCTCAAGTCGGCGGATCACGGGAAATTCCGGGTGATTTGAAAGTGGGATACTCAATATTAGATCGGAGGTTCAACCACTACTGTGAACAATGTAACATGGCTATGCTTGCAAGTGACATTAAAATCGGTAAGCTGCACTTTTCTCCAGAAAGATAACTGCTTCTTGATTTATTTCATTTATATAATTAACACGATTTACTCAAGAATTTTCCTCATCAAATCAAATTATACGCCACCAACCCATTAGCTCTCAAGTTCATAGCTTGTGTAATATTCGGATATAAGCTTGTCTAAATTTTCTGATTTTCACAGCGGGCATTCTGAAGAAGCACAGTGATTTGGTAGTTTATCATCCGAGATGCTTCTCTCAAGCTTTTGAAAGACACCCTGTAAAATTGCAGGTTCGTACAAAGATAGGTTCTCTACTTTTCAAGACACCACTTTCGGGTCCAAATTTTGGGCACTAAAATTTTTATGTCTTGGCCAATTTATTATTTTTTTCATGCCGATTTGAAGGTCATTAAGGCATTTGACCCAGTCAAAAAAGTCTCAGTTTTATATCTTTTACGGTTTTTGCGGAACGTCGTGTTAAAGTTGATGCCGTGGTGTCAGTAAAATGGTACGGATATACATATATATATCGTCTCGCTTTATATATAGAGAGAACATGCTTTAAGAACATGCTCCCATTTTTTTTCAGGGGCTGGAGAAGCTATTACCGTACGATATATCCGGACTAAAGTCAATACTGAACATTATCACTACCTCAAGTACCCCACATAACAAATATCAAAGCAAGTCTACCCCAATTGAAAATGTGATGAAGTTTAGATCCTCAAAAGACGCTTTCTTCTGGCCACGTGCCAACTCTTCTTCAGGACCTGCCAATATGGTAACTATGGTAACTGTCACTATATGGTAAATAGTACAGTGGGTCATCCTTTAATTAACAACTGGTCACGATGAATACTCAACATTGGTACAGCAATACCCTGATTTACTGCGGAGTTTGGGAGAAAGGGAAAAGATGTGGTAAATCGGGGTCTTGATTGTTTACATTATGTATGTTGAGCCCTATTTGGGAGAGAGGAGATGGCCGCGGTAAATCGGGATTTGCGGTAAATCTGGGTTTTATTGTAGTTCCATTTTAGATTTTGTAAATTCTGGAGGGATTTTGGCCAAATAAAAGTGATAAAAAGTGTTTATCTCCTCAGGAAGAACAGAACACAGCCAGCTCCTCCTTCTCTTCCTCGTCTGGTGACAAGATATGGGACTCCCTTCATCCATCACGTCAACAACCTCCCAATAATCCCAGCTACAAATCACGGAGTAAACCATCCTCGTTCGATGATTTGATACGAAATCATTCGAATAGAAACCCAGATAGTGTCCATCGTGCTATTTCCAATCCGCCAAGGACTGCTGATCTTTCCAGAAAAAGAAAGACTTCATTCAAACCAAACACGGACCACTCAAATTCACGATGGTCGAATCACGGTAGTGATCCTAAGAAGACTGTCAACCCGCCTAAAAGAGAGCAATCTCACGAATCTTGTAGAACTTCTGATTCTCATTCAGGGTTCAGTAAGGAGTCTGACCCGGAAACGTCGGAACCTTCCGGTAAGGTGGAGCTAAAGAAGAGTACTATCCGGAGTGAAATAACCAAGATATTGTACAAATATAACCACGACTACATCACATCCAAGATAGTTCGGACCATGTTGATGCAGAAGTTTGGGTGCGACTTGACACCCCACAAGAAATTCATAGATGACACGATTATGGAATTGCTGGATATTATCGATAATAATCCGATCAACTTGAAAAGTATTCCAGGACGGGTCTTTGTAGACGGTAAGATAGACACTGGGGGGGGGGGGGGGGGGCACTGTCCGTATTGTTTACAGAGTTACGGCTGGGGTGGTGGTGGGCACTGTCCGTATTGTTTACAGCTGGTGGCCGGGGGGGGGGGGGGGGGGGGAGGGACTGATGTGCATATAAACTTAGACTTCACAGTTCACGGAAACTTATTTCATGATTGTATACGGCCGTACATCCAGCGCACTGATCCAAGCAATAATTTGGCATCACATAACATGTATATTGTATAACCTACAGAGATCCAATTAAATGTCAGTTATCTAAACAAGTGAGCAGCCATCTCTAGCTAATCTAGCATTCCACTTATTCATAGCAATTATGAAAGTTTCGTATTTATTTAATACTTTTTGTAGTTTGAGTTTAAATTTTACCTTATGGAATTAATTTCTTTGTGGCGGCAAATAAATTGTTAATCTCTTCGATTGATGTGCTTTTTGAGATTGTATTAACTAATCCTTGCCATCTCAGACTAGTGTCTAGAATGATGTGCATGGCGAGGTGCTGTGTTGTGTTGGTGCGGTGACCACCAGGCCCTGCTTCTCATCCTCTGTAGTATATAGAGCTGGTAGTATATAAAGCTGGTATTTAGTATCATGGTGAAATGCTCTTACCCAGTCTGTCCTAACGATTCCCTCACCCATCCTACTTTGACATTTCACAAATTTCCCAACAGAACGACCAACAAACCCGTCTGGGAAGCTTGGATCTCGGTACTGTCCCAAGCCAAACGAAGGGAGTTCAGTAAAAAGGGTGACGAGCTGGTGATTTGTAGTAATCACTTTGCAGCTGCTGACTTTAGTCACCGGAGGAACACTCCCCCTGTCATTTCTCCTTTTGCCGTTCCTATAGGGCCCTCGTCTCGATCTGTTTCGTTTTGTGACCTCGAGTCAAAGGTTCAGAGCTCTGCGCCATCTTTAAAGCAAGGCACCTTGTTCAAGTTCATCGCTGATAGGAAACCTAAACTAAGAGCATTGACGCCTTTTCTTATCAAATCGACTTCTAAAGGTAGCCTCCCGCAACACTGTTTTATCGTCTATCATAAAGATTTCATTTTGTAGTAATAGATATTTAAATGAAAGCCAAAGTCTTAGTTACAATATGACCCAGAAATACCACATTATATTTTAAGTACTATTTAAATTTGTTCATACTTGTTGTCTTCTATTATTTACTTTGCACATTAGTCTCGCCTCACCCAACGCAACCGTCAGCTACTACTATTAACTGTCTAACCTACATGTCCTACAACACCCATGATTTTATAATAATTTGGATTCATTGTTCGAGGTATGAGCATGGTGTAGTGGTCACTAACTCAATTTCATTTCAGAAGGAGAAATAGAAGATATCGCAACAAGTCCAGTATCTCCTGCCACCACATCGACCGATCCCATCATGTCGCCCATGAGTGCTAACATAGACGACATTTCACCTGTCGCTATAATGAGCAACCAGGCAGACGAGATAGCTCTGAGCAACGTGGATGATTCTGTCAATGTTAATAGTTCTAAAGGCGCATGGGGCGACAAGTCTAACAGTCCCAAGAACAAAGGTAAAGATAAGATAGATAAGAAAAGGGAGCAAGTATTGGTAGGGTTGGATAGAGAGGAGGAATATGCGTTATCAGTAAACGACAAACCTGTAAACTTGTGCGAATGTTGTTTGTGTTGCTTCCGGATACAAACATTGGAGGAGATTGTTTCTTTGTACAACCACGTAAAGACCAAACACGAAGGTGAGTGCACGTGCGTTGTGTGCGACATAAAGTTTAAAGACGTGTACAAGCTCATGTTACACGTGGCAGAGTTTCACCGGGCTAACAAATGTTTTAAGTGTAAAAACTGCCGCCGGAGCTTCAACCATCACTCTGACCTGTCCAGGCATTTGGACTTCTGTTATCTGAGTAGTGACAGTGATGATTTAGAGGATTTGGAGGAGAGTCCGGTTAATTCACCTCGGAAGAAGAAGACGAAGTTCGAAAAGGGCCCCCCAGGCATGCCTGAACTGGTGAACACATTGAAGAGCACTCAAAATACCTTGGATAAAATAAAAACATTCATCACATCTGAGTCGAGCCCTTATGAAGACTTGTGATATTGTTAGGTAGTGTTGGGTAGTACAACAATATTATAGAGTATAGATTTTATCATCGCTAGTTGGGCAATTCCATCGTAGTGGCAATTAACATGGCTCAACTCATGTTCATATATTGTTCAGACATTTTCACGTTTGTTATATTTGTTGTTTCCCTTTGTTAAAGAATTCATTCGGGCAATTGGTATAATTTTGATGTTATAGTGGGGGGGGGGCTTTAGGAGTCAATTAGTGCTGAGAATAACCGGCATGTCACATTATTACAAGTATACCTGTAATAGTATTACAATTATGACGTGTAGTCTTGAACTTTTTTGCGGTTCACAAAATATGTTGTATTTTTGCGAATCTGTTATTTTTATTAAGTGCTTTTGGCTTCATTACTATTTTAAATTATATACCTAAAATTTTTATAGATTATCTGGTTAACTTATTACAAGAGCATGTAACGATTTCATATCATTGCAATTTCCGCATTGTGAAATATATGGAATTACATTTACCACTCTTTTCATCAATCTAGAACAGTGTATTCATTATCTCCATCTTAATCCTCCAATCTGTAATAAATGAATGCATAATCATGTGCAGGAGTATTTGTCGCAATGTTACGACAGCACTGTATTGCGAAACTGTCGTAATATAGTGCCGGCGTCGGTGTAAATTTAATTCTGAGCGCCCCTCGGCCTCATGTATCCAAAAATAATACTTAATTAAATAGGTAAATAGGTAATCTTGGTTGTTTTGTCGAAATTATACCGAACAAAACCAGTCCCATAATTCTTACCATTTTCTTGATTTAGTCGTTCGTAAATGACAAACGAACCCACACACCACTCACATATGTTTTGGGATTATTAATGTAGATATACAGGGGGGGGGGGTCAAAAGTCAGTATACATACGCGTCTTATACCACCACCGTGTTTCATATTTGAGACTTGTAACTTTGCAGATGACATACTGGTCTGTACCTACTTATTCGAGGATTATGTAGCAAAAATTTGAGAATTCGACTATTTCAGACCACGCCCATTTAATATTTAATCTCCTGTATTGTTCTTCCAAGACATGCGATGCCCCATTTTCAGTTTACTGTAGATCATTAACTGCTGCATCTCATCTGAAAAAATAATGCGAGACCAGTTTGACATTATGACGAAGTTATTAAGCTATTTGTTTATCTCGTTAGCAAAATTGAGCGGGTAAACATGTGATAGCGTGCTAGGATACCGTAACTCCGTAATTGGGCTTTCTGCACGATTCCCAGGCCATAGTGCGGATCTAGTGTCAATCCAATCAACTGATCCCATATGTAATGAATAAACTCTTTTGGAGGGGGATTATTCATTCATTCGAAAAAATTAACTTGAATATTCTTTAATTTGATATATTTCTCGAATAAGTGGTGATAGTAAGTCATACCAGAAAGAATTATTTCAATCGGGCACTCGTACTCAGTCACTGAGCTATAAAGGCCAACATATGTATACTGACTTTTGCATCCCCCGTACAATGTACATCCAAACTACGATAATGATTAATGATAAACCTTTAACATCTTAGATGAAGTGATGTAATATTACAAAATGTGAATAACGTGAACTACTATGGGCGACTATGATCTATCCCCTAAGTATGAGATAAGTCCCCGATATTACGGTCACAAGTCTAGTAAGCGAGAGGAGAAGATTTTCAAGTGTAAAGAATGTAAACGAACTTTCAATCGCAGGTTTGTTTAATTGTAGCCCTGTTTTGTTAAATTATAAAATCAACAGTGGATTTTAACGTTTCTTCCCAATAAATAACAAAATATTTTGCCTACCATTGAAATTTGTTCAGAAATATCGATTAATATAAGGGAAATCTGACTGCTTCATTCCTCCATCTCTAACAAAATCATTTCAGACACAACTTAACAAAACACGAGCGTGTACATTCGGGTGATAAGCCTTACGTTTGTAAGGACTGTGGCAAGAGGTTTGCGGACAGTTCGAACATGACCAAACATGTCCAGAGAATGCACAACAGTATCAAACATGGCATGTTCACTGGTCAGTGTTGATTCTTACTAACTGCTGCCAGCTCATAATGAGACCCATAATCTTAAATTCATTTATAGCTTATTATTTATTTCAAGTTAGTTTGTTCAAGCCACTTTAGAGGTTAACTTAACCGAACTTTAACAGATGACAAGAATAACACAACCTGTGAGATCTGTCAGAGATCATTCTCTTCCACAGACGATCTCTTTCAACACGAGTTGAAATATGCCAACACAAAGGTACCCGCATTAGTTATTATTTCTCTTTTCTCTTGACAGTTTTGTTGATAATTGGGCATAGTTGGGGACGAATTGAGAGTCTCTACTCAGTGTAATAAACAAAATGTTGTCGACGTTTCAATAAAAAAGGCGTGTTGCCGAAACGTCGAGAACATTTTGTTTATTACACTGAGTGGAGACTCTCACTTCGTCCCCAACTATCAAATATGATCACAATAGTGTTTTTAATAGATAATATATCCCAGGTCTATACGTGTGGTGTTTGTAATAAAGCGTTCCATTTAAGAAACAGCTACGCAAGACATTTAGACACGCATAATGAGAAACGCAAGTAAGTTCCATGTGTTATGTTTATACCCCTCCCCCATATGTTATGTTTATACACCCTATGTGTTATGGTTATGGCCCCCCCCCCCCCCCCCCCCCCCCCCCCCCCCCCCTTTAATCCACTGAACCCCTTATGTAATATGTTCAGATACCACTGTGACCTGTGTGACAGAACCTTCTCTCAGAAGTTCCTTCTTGAAAAACATCGTCAATACCACGCTCCTCTCGAACATGAAATTACGCTTCAGGTATCTTAGTTATTTCAGTATATATATTTCAGTTATAGAATTCTTGACTTATCGGGATATTATCAGAACCATTAGCTTTACCATTCTTCAATTTTGACAGAACATATTCTACTTCAAATTCAGTGATATGACAGCCGAGAGTTTCTATCAATAGGCAACAAGAGTGATTCTGATTTATCACAATCACTCTTTTGAAGTGTTACACTGTTTAACAGGAATTCCTGTGACATATCCATCCTTAACATTAAGGTTTATTGTAACAAACTCTACAGTTAGATGACGACTACAACGACGACTATAACGAGGACGAAGAGCACGACGAAGAAGACGAGACTGAATATAGTTTGAACACAGATGTCGGCAACAAGTACGAGAGCGACGTTGAGGCTAACCAGCGGGAACGTATTGGTGAGTTATTACTTAAATATCCTCGATTATGAAAAATCGCATCATTACGAGAATTTTATCACACAGGTTTCAAATAGGCTAAATTTTACTCGATTTTTCACTTGAAATGATAACATTTAAACGGTAACGCTAATGGTACGGGTACAATGTAGGGAAAATTGATCGTGCGTGGTGTAACCGCGGCGAAATTCTTGTTAAATACCATATTTGCTATTATATTCCTACTTTCCTACAGGTAAAGGAATTACGGTGCACGAATGTACTATTTGTGACAAGGTTTTCACATACCGATCCCTTTGGACAAGACATCTGAAGAGTCACTCTACTGATAACAGTTTCAAATGTCACATATGTCAACGGGTATGAACCATCTAAATCTAATACCTCATTAAAAAATCAAGGGCCTTGAAATACTGTATTATTTTATTACTGGGCGTCCCAAAAAAGGGCGATCAACTGATTTATGTTAATAACTCACATCATCTTAAACTTGTTTTATAAAGACCTTTAGCTCTGCACTGGGGTGATGTCCTCCTACTGTTCTAGAGTTATTAACTAAAATCTCTTGGTCGCCTTTTTTTACACCCTGTATCTCTACCAAATTGTAACCTGAACATTGCTTAGCTTATTCATCTTTCCAGGTTTTCAAGAGACAGTATTATCTTGTAAAACATAAGAAGATATGTAAAGGGATTCCCGTTGATACACTTTCTAGTGACGGGCAGCCGGCACGTATAAACCTGGGAGTTACAAGAGACCACACTGCTTCACCCCCACGCGTTGAACCTGGAATGCCCCACTGGAACGCTGCAACACCCCAGTAGAGTAGTTGGTGTGTAAAATTACACATAAACTGACCTCCAAGATGATTATGATGATTTGGCCGATTCGCAGTATTGTATAGCATAGTACAGTATAGTATACAGTCAACAGTGCAGTATTGTTATGGTTGAATGACAGCTGCAGATTAAGCGCGCTTTTGGGAAGTGTAGTGTTGCCGCGCTATATACTAAAAACGGATGGCGCGGGGGTTAAGATGTGATAGGAATTTTCATTTAGACTATTTAGCCATGATTTCTGAAAATTTAATAATATAAGTTATTTATTAACGTGACTTGGTTAATTGATTAATTTGTTATTCTCACCGTGCTCCTATGTGCAAATAAGCATTGACAGGATTTTGTAATATATATAGGTGTTAGGGTTTCTTACCGAACGTTGTAGCGGCTTCGCTCGCAGATTCATGTTTTTCATCCGCCAGCGTGCGTTGATCGCTGGTCTTACTATTTGAACAAATGTTTGTCCATTATCATTGCAGAATATCCTTGATTACATCACTAATTTGCGTAAAATCTTTTCGCATACATGGTACTTCCTAATATTAAACTTTTCCAATGTCATTTAACTAAATTTGTTCTTTGTAAACTTATGTAAACTTAAACCTGTAGAATTAACACGCTAGGATGCAATCTGGGGGCGGCGAGCTATCCCGAGAAAGGATCGTCCCCTACGAGTGTGGGGAATGCTCCGAGAAGTTCTTCTCTTATAAGAATTACAAAAATCACATGACAGGTTTGTTGATTTATCCATCTTCTCGTCATTTATTTTACGCATATAAGAATAAAGTTTGTATTTAATGTGAGTATGAAATTTAGTAGACAATAAATTATGAAGCATATATCAAATTATCTGCAGATCATATCATGTCGGCAGAAGAGGTAGAGCAGCGTGTTATGGTGAGTAATGTTTACCAGTGCACTGCATGTGCCCGCGAGTTCAAAGACAAATCTCTCCTTACCAAGCACTTTAACATGGAACACGCTAAGATAGCACGTGAGTATTGAACTTGGTTTAACTTACAGTGTCGTAAGTCTAATCTAATTATGGGGGGGGGGGGGGGGGGGTCAGGGCTGCTCACTGCTGGATTAGATATCTGATATATCTAATTGTGTGTACGTGTTTTTCTATACTGTGTGTACCTACTTTCCGTTTCCCCCGAGATGCCCAGTATAAATATGTTATACTGTATAATTTTTCATTGCATTACACCTCACCCCCCTGTGTAGTGTATGTTCATATTTTGACTTTTAAATATTTTAGGCCTCACAGGAGATAGAAAGCAGAGAAAATCACCGATAAAAGTGGGTGCAATTTCAGAAACCTTCGAGTCTCCATCAAAACGGGAGATGAGGGCAGTGGATATCAGTTACAGGAGATCCAGCTACGAGTATACTAATTCCCATCCTCATCAAGGTTACCTGCTCATGGTATTATTACAGAACCCCATGATTTTCACAAAGTTTAGTTCCGACCATTATCACATCATCTATCATGATGGTTCCTTATTTCGAACAACTGTTAATCGCTCGTTAAATTTCAGTGACTGGTTCAGAATTAAAAGGAAGGTTTGCTTGTCCGGATTGTTTGAGAGAGTTCCTGAACCCCACAGCTCTGGAAGGGCACGTCAACAAATACAAAAACAAGAAACTCTACTGCTGTTCCTTCTGTGAAAAAAAGTAAGTAAATGCGTGCTCTGAAAATCGAGTCTAAAAATCTATCTTCTCCTATATTTTTAAGCGATAGCCCTAGAAACTTCCAGGATATGTTCTATGGACCATTTAAAAGAGATTTTTGAACCAGAATTTTGAGACAGGTTCAAGATTTTGTTTTCGATTTTGAAAATCTTGGACCTGGAAAAATTGTCAAAAAATTTGGAAGAATATTTATTCGTGGGACCAAAAGCAGCTGATCGATATCACTTCCTTCTATCAGAAACAACTATTTAAAGTCAATTTCGATAAAATTTTCACGTAGACCCCAGGGGCGCCAACATAAAGCACTGCTCACTGCTCTTATCTCAGATTTCACTTCCGAACTTCATGGAAGAGGCACGAGGAATGTCATAAGTCAGAGAGACAAGTATGGCAATGTGATTCGTGTACCATGACCTTTACTCAGAAGGTAAACCTAAAGAGGCACAAGGAGGGTAACAAGAACCCTTGTGGGACTGGAAACAGGGTTAGTAATCTTACACTTGGTTATATTGTTAACAAAACAATAGTTTCTATTGCTACCTTAGTTCACTTTGTTTAAGGACAATACAATTTAACAATTTTCAATTCTTGAAAGATAATGATTATAAATTTGCAGTTAATGTCTATGAGACTGTACCGAGACCGAACAACACTGCACTGTCTCAAACCGGTTAGCTCAGCTTCTCTAGCACGGTACGCTGCAAGTGACGAGGAGGAAGAGGAGGACGAGCTGGAAGAAGAAGAGGAGGAGGAGGAGGACCGGGGTCCGGAAACAAAACCTAGTACCCCCGAGCCAAGCACCACATCCATCGACAACTCTCACATCCAAAAAGGAGAAGCGTTCTACGCGTGCAGCGTGTGTGACAAGCTGTTCACGTACCGGTCTCTGTGGTCACGACACGAGAAGGAGCACCACACCAGCAAGAGTTTCGACTGCAGTGTTTGTGGCACCAAGTTTACACGTCAGTACTATCTGGCAAGGCACCGTAAGATGTGCCTGTCTCGCATGAACGCTCAATCTAGTGATTCTCACAGGATAACCACGAGACCTGAACAGAGGTTTGGTGGCAAGTCTAGATAGAACAAAACCGGGTTCAAACAAGAACTGACTCTAATACAGTGAGTCTTGTGGTATGAGGCCGAGTGAAGCTATTGTGGAATGTGGAGTTATTTGTTTATATAAAACGTACTGTTGTGTAGTAAAACTGTTCTTAGTGTAAAGAAAGTTATCTGGGAAGCAATGATATCATGATACAGAGTGTCTTCCCGCAATCCAATGCTCCGGAATCTGTTTATTCAATTTCAGAACGAGAAACTTTTCATTAAAGCTATCACAGTGCTACCAGGCTCAGGTTGGATCTCCAAGAAAATAATCTTAATTCTATGTGCAACGTTACGTGATCTCACCATATTAAAATATTACTGTCTACACGACAAAGTAAAAAAGAGAACCAAGTGAGTGCATTATGTGCATTGTTCACTGAACACTGACCTATATGCGTGTAACTCCTTATAATTTACAGGGGGTATGTGGGGAGGGGGTAGGGTATGTTGGGTGGGGGAGGGTGGGGTATGTGTTAATGCGCCTCAAGATCAAACCAGCGGAGTACAACTGTGATCTTAATTTTCCCAGACTCTACAGCTTGTATGTAATCAGTTACTAATTTTAAGTAAGCATTTTATTCAATCGGTTTGATGCGGAAAGTATGTTTTGGTCTCATTGAAATTTGATCTGTATTTGCAACTTATTCAGTAATTTGTATGGTATGTTTCTATTCATTTCAATCGTCGAGAGTAATTATAAAAACATCTAATTTTACATCATATTTGAAACCTGCTGATTTTACTGTCTATCACCTCACTTTCCCTTATCGCGAATTCACGGCTGTCCGGACGACATGAAACATTTTAAATTTTTTGCTAAATCACTTTACTGTTTACACTCGATCTTCAAGATCTTTTTAAAAGAGCCCCGACAGTTGGAATTGTAGGTTTATAACCTACCAAGACGCTCGCCGAGTTGGACTCGTCGACGGTCTTGAATGTTGAAACAAATATTTTACTAGTAGTAGTATCACCCGTTGACATTTTATTTGTCATACGTTGTATGACCCGCCGCGCATGAGTGCGCGGCTCCCCCTGTATCGTCGAAACTATAGTGAAGCGACAGTGGGGTCACCACGTGATCAGTGATACAAGTTGACATAGGGTTGATTCACGATGTCAATTCGTCGCAGCTCGGCGAGGCCAACTGCCCATGCAGTAGTGCATCTTGCCGATCTACTGTGCTTGCGACAAACATTATTTGATGAGCGGCGTGGCCCATTGTATCACGTGGTGACCCCCACGGTCGCTTCACTACCCCTGTAGAGTTTCGACGATACAGGGGGAGCCGCGCACTCGTGCGCGGCGGGTCATACAACGTATGACAAGTGGCCCAGTAGTGCATCGCGCTACAAGACAGGGTTAAACTTAAAATGCTCCCCTGGCGATATACGACTAGGCAAAAAAACTGTCTTGATCGCACGTAATATGACCGTATATAAATATTATTATTATAAAGAAGTTGATCTAATTTCTCGTTGAAATTAGGTGTTAGGGTTTCATCATATGCTTTTGTTAGGGATTAAATTGGGTTAGCGTTGGTATCTGATTACAGATTAGAGGGTTAAGTTAGGGTTTCGAATAGTCGTTCAGGGCCAGCTTGATACAAAGATAACGGGTTGAAAAAGTCACGTGACAGTCGATCGAGTGTAGACTTAAAGTAATTAATCATCATCCATATCTCCACCGAAAGCACTTTTAATTGTATATCAATATGTATGAAATAGTTTTATAATTTGCTTGATTCTACACTACTAGTAGTAGTACTAAGTTGACGTGTGTCGACCAAAATTGGACGGGAATCGTTTCACGTTTGAGATCACCTCGACAAAAGTTTAAAGCTACTTGTAGCGCGATGCGTTACTGTGCCGCGCCGCGCACTCAATGAGGCTTCTCACAGCGGCTTCTCTGGCTAGATCGGCAAAATGCGCTACTGTGCCGCGCCGAGCTGCCATGAATTGACATCGTCAATTAAAAAGCTACTCGCTCTATTAATTGTGCTTTTTACAAAGAAATAAGACAGTATCATTTTTAAGCTTTTTATTCTCTTTCAAAAATATTTTAAGTGATTTATATAACTTGTAACTGCATATGTTGATTTTTAATACATTGCAAAAGATTTCATCTCGATTCGCGAATGTTTGAAAAACAAAAGTTACTGCAATGCGCGCAATTTGGGGAGTGTGCTTTCGGCGGAAATATAAACTGTGCCATTATGCATTACATACCAAATTTGTTACACTTTTTTGGAATGATTTGTAGGTTTACAACCTACCAGGACGCGCGCCGAGTTGGATTCGTCGACGTAACGGTGGAACAAATATTTTACGAGTATCACCTGTTAAGGAATGATTAGTGAGTTTCGTTTTAGTATTTCACATAGCCATGTGTATACGCGTACTGCGTGACGCGCTTGTTTCACACCTTCGGCGGTCGCGCGCTACTGCAAGTGAGAGGGCTCTGGTTAGAGCAATCTTGTGTGTCATTATATTTAATGACGGCTTCCCTCAATGCAATCCAATCTCATTACAATCCAATCTTATTACAGTTTGCAGTATACAGTATAATTTTTATCAACTACTGGCCACTGGCCACTGCTAGGCGGCTTATTTACTAATTCGCTCGCCCAAAAATTTTTGTCATACGTTGTATGACCCGCCGCGCACGAGTGCGCGGCTCCCCCTGTATCGCGTAGAAACTCTACTATAGTGAAGCGACAGTGGGGGTCACCACGTGATACAAAAAAATTTCACAATGCATGTGCACAAGAATGTTTTTAAAATTTGGGCGAGCGATTTAGTAGAAGCGCTGCTAGGCTGTAGATCGATACTTTGAAAGATTGAAATTAGTAAAATTGAAACTGTCTCATTTAATATATCACTATAATAAACGTAATTCACAATTCTTACAAATTATAGTGATAAAAATAAAATCAATTATTATCAAAATTCACATTATCAAATGCTATCGCATTTCTTTGAGGGTCTGCATATATAATAATTGGTCGATTGAAACTCTTACATTGCCATAAAATATCTTAGAGGGCCGGCATATAAATGCTTAAAAGCTAGTAATGTACAATGCAATAAATTAAATTTGAAAAAAATAAATTTCAATCTGAATAAAATGATTAAAAAACGTAAAAGTTAAAATGCTGTGGTCACGGTCAACAAAAACTGAGAGGCGACTTGGTAAACCGCCGATAATTGCTTCAATGTCGCTCAAGGACGTCTATTAGCAGGGACAAAAGGATTTTGCGGCATGTACGAAATCGCGAAATTTCCCATTCTCCGCGACAAATTTTATGTATAGTTTAATGTATAGCCTGTTAAATTTCGCGGTACCGCGATTTTTGGCCAAAATAATCGCGAAATCCTTTTCACTTTTGTCCCTGTCTATAAGTGTATTACTAACGCATAACGGCTAATATTGCATGGACCAACAATCAATATTGTATAAATGCTCTACCCAATATGTCTACACAGATGAGGTTTACTGCATTTCATGGTGTTCTTCATCCTCCACCTCTCATCCAAACTAGTGTCCTCGTAACAGTTACAATCCGCAGCCTCCAAGTGTTGCAGTTTACCCTCGTAGTCGCAGGAAGGATAGTCAGAAGGGAATGTTGTCGTTGACTGGGTGTATCCTCCCTCGTGTACAATGAAGCCCTGTCCGTCCTCCATGTGCTGGTCCAGGTGGCAGTGCAGGAACCACACACCGGGGTTGTCTGTGTTGAACCTGATGGCGATGGCTCCCCCAACTGGGACTATCACGGTGTCTTTTAGAACTCCTTGTCTTGGTCGTGTACTCAGATCTGTAATATTAGTGGAAAACACTTTCTCCAAATCAGGCAGGTCACATCTGCCATCTGGACAATCCTTTTTTAGTCTTGTAGCTACCTCCAGTACTTCAAACTTGTGGCCGTGAAGGTGTATCGGGTGAGGGAATGCCGTGACGGAGCGTATGACAAGAGTTACTGATTTGTTTAGAGGCAGAGTCAGGACATCAGAGTTTGGGTGAAGATCTTTTGCTGGATTGAAAGTGTCTGCAATCATTGCTTTGCGAGGTAGAACGTTTTGTTTCCAAATTCCGTGGTCTATTGACCATAGGTGACCGTACTGGGGAACAAATTGGAACAGGAAGTCTGCTATATGAGTCTCTGATTCTGGTAGTTGCACTCTTTTAACAGTCGAGATAAGACTTGTCACCGAATTACAGTCAAACTGTGGCATCTTGAACATATCACAGTTCAAAATCTTGGCTTTGGTCATATCCACCAGCTCTGTTTCTGGTGAGTCTTCGCGATACAGAATATTGTGGTTGGTGCGGATCCGGAGAACGCCCAAAATCCCCTTCTTCTGTTCAGCAGAAGGAGTCATTGCACGAATCCAAACATTCTGGTGGGGTTCAGTTATGTTGAAGTTAATCTGGACATCGTACCTTTCTCCAGTGCTAATCATGATCACATCCGTTTCGTAAGGTTCCACTGGCCCACCATCTGTTCCTACCACTGTGAGTTTGTGTCCATCAACACTGAAAAAGTAGGAAAATATACCCCCTCCATTGATAATCCTAAACAGATACTTCCCATTCTGAACATCTACTGTAGGTTGAGCATCTCCGTTCAATAGTCCTGATGTCCACCCTATGGCACCACTGTGAAAACCCTCAAGATCTGGGATGGGACTTCGGACAAGACCTCCCATAGTTAGAGGGTGATCATAGCCAATGAAATTGGGATATAAATCTTGGAAGAAAAGTGTTCTTTCGTTCCCATCAGTGCTCCAACTAGCTGGATGTACAATGAGAGGTCCTCGCACAAAGTCGTGCCCAACAGGCACCATGCTGGAGTGTCCATGCCACCAATACGTCCCTGGTTCTTCATCCACTACAAACTCATAAAGAAAGCTCTCCCCAGGTGCCACAGCACACTGGGTTAGCCCCACCACCCCGTCGTAGTGCTGGACCCCTCTCATCTCAAACCCGTGCCAGTGAAGACTTACTCCGTGGTCCAGTAGGTCGTTTGTCAGTAGAACGGACAGCGTTTCTCCTCTTCTCACGTTAATCGCGGGTCCCTGCACCTTGCCGTTTACAGTGTTTACAATCAAAGTTTTACCTCCGACGACTTGAACGTTACGTTGAATCCTAAATTCGTATCTAGAAGTAGATGAGGTGAAATTTCCCTCAAACTTGGAGATAAATGTCTGAAAAGCTATCCCACCGCAAATAATCAAGAATATTCCAGCAGCTACCGCACTTATCATTTGTTTCCATGTAAAGTTGAACTTCATCTTGGTCAAACAAAAAGTGCAGTGGGATCTTATTTTAAGCAACACTGAAACGACCGAATGAAGAATTAACTCCATTCGAGCAGTTCAAATTGTTAGAGCATTATAATCTGACAAAATTACAGGACAAAATTACGAGAAGACTATTGTCTTTTTGAAAGATAACATTTTTGCCCGATTATCAAAATTCTTTGACAAATCTCGCGTTTAATTGTATTAAACTTTAAGTCTCCCAACTTTACTTCCCCCAGATTGGGACTGTTCATCGGCCGCTAAGCAGGGGTGTAGGAAGAGGGGGCGGCGGAGCAGGGGTGTATACTATTAATACTACTATGTATACTACTATAATGTATACTACAGCGAGGTTCTTGGTGAGAGCAAACAACAGGCGTTTCCCGAAGAAGGAAGTCACTAAGAAGGATCTGCTGAAGTTCAGCTGTAAAGTCCCCGCTACACCTCAACAGAACTCCTCTGCGGACACGTGACGGTCAAGTCGAGCTTCATTTCATTTCATATCACGATCACCATATCATAGCATTTTGGAACATGTTCATGGGAATTAAATTATTTTATTTGCTCTTGTTTCTCTTTCAACAAAAGATGTGACGAAGTTAAATTTTTATGATTTTTAAATTTTTATTTTAAGAAAACTCTTGCACATTATTTATTTATTTATTTCTATTATATTGATGTATAGTCAAGACGTGAGTGTTAGGGCTCTCATTGACAAATTTATGTTTAATCCTGTTTAATCCTGTTTAATACTATCTCCAAATATGTAATATTCACCGTGACGAATCCAATTAAAATTGACGAACAAGGACCAACCCTCGCTTCCTAATCAACATACCGTGCCATGTACTGTGCTTATTGGCATTTTCCTGCTCTACTTACACCACTCTGGATAATTGGTCATTGGCAAGCGATCTGGCGGACCACGTGCTGCTGCTAATACAAAACGTCCAATGTTGTCCGAGCAACATCTGGGGTTGAACGGTTTGCATGCCTGTCACGTGGTGCTGATGGACGAGCCTGCTCTTTCTTTGTAGTAGTTTCTCTGAATCTTTTGACGCCCGAGTTTCGTTTGTAGAAAATGTTACGCAGTATTATTAGATAGCTGCCACTTTTCGGCGGTCCATATTCTGCAATGGTTTATGGTATGAATACTCCGTAAATAATCTCCCGAAAGCGTCACTACAAAAAGAGTTGCCAATATTTGCTCTGTATTTGCTCTGTATTTGCTCTGTATTTGCTCTGTATTTGCTCTGTATTTGCTCTGTATTTGCTTTGTATTTGATCTGTATTTGATCTGTATTTGATCTGTATTTGATCTGTATTTCATCTGTATTTCATCTTTATTTGCTCTATATTTGCTCTGTATTTGCTCTTCAGCAGCTGTGCAGTCAGAGTGATGACAAGTATTTTGTCAGTGAAAACTAAGAGGCCGGGACGAACTGATACGGCCTGAATACAATGGAGCTCCACATCACCACTTACCAGAAACTGATTAGGATTGGCTTATAAATATCACGTGACCAAATGTTCGATCTCTTATTGGGCGAGAAGCGTCAGTGTGTGAACAGTCTCTATATTACCACTTTTAAACCTGAGCCTGAGCAGCACAAATACAAATTTGAATTGTCTGCTGTCCGCTAAATTGAGAGAACGTTTGACAATTTCTGTTTCATCAATAACGCGTCAAGTTTAGCTGAGGACTGCTAGATGTCAAGTGTACTTGAATTCCGTCTTATCTTAGCTACTCGTAGTTAGTTCTTACTGTTACTCTTAGTTTCTATTTTCAGTACCTTACTCGGGAATATTATAGCGGGTTAATTTATGACTGGGAAAATTAATGACCGGGAAAAATATGGCGGACTTTCCCAAAACCCGCCAAATTATCCCGGTCATGTATTTACCGGTGGCCGACCTTTCAAGTTTTTTTTTCAGAGGTCAACAAATTTTCAACCGAAATTTCTGTTTTTGTTATTTGTTAAAGAAGTTATACTTATTTCAATTTACAGTTATTGGTATTACTCAGAAATAGAAAAAAAGACACGTCTATTTAAAGGAAAATAAATCTAAGCAATAATAAGTCAAATCTTCATTAAAGCGTATTCTCATTTTCATTATCGCTCATGTCCCCGCCATTATCATTATTGATATCCCCCTGAGCTGCTGGCCGTCAAATTCGAAGTTGTATTGTTGTTCACTTGTCTTAACAAGACTTTCATTTTGTCCGCTAATGGGGCTACTGCTCTGAAGGTCAGCCGGAGCTTAATTTCCTGCACACCGCTTGGTATTGGGGAACGTCTTGGCTTTGCATCTTCAACTGCTCCAGTAATCAATCCACCGTGGACCATGAAATAGTGGCACAGTTTACTCACTTCTAGCGGGATGTGGCCACAAGTTACTTTAACGGGAAAAACTCCCTCTTTCTTTAGTCTACACACTGCACACGAGAAGCGATCAATCTTTAGAGACATAATTATTATAATATATATTATATATTATTATTATTTTTGTTTTCTTCTATAACATATAAATTGTTTTCTTCTCTACGATTCACTGATTCATGGGCAAGAGAAGTGAGAATCACGGTCCACCCTGAAATCTGATTTCTATAACCAAATTGTGATTTTTATAACGAAATTATGGTAGCAACCGCCAATAAAGTTACAGCCCTCCATCCACTGCTTCAAAAGTCTTCTCTATCACATATGAGACTTCAGGTAAAATATGATGATCACCACCCCCTTGGAACCCCATAATCTGAGTCGGCGGGTTTTTTTATAACTGGTAAAATTTTTGACCGGGAAAAATATGGCGGAAACTTCTAAAACCCACCACTTTATCCCGGTTATAATATTCCCGAGTAAGGTAGTTAATTTCGATATAGTACTCTGGCTATGGCTATGCCGCTTTAAAAGTTGGTTCCTTATATATTCTATACATTATCTTTACTCAATATACTCATGTATTTTTGATACGGCGTTTATATCGCTCTATAGTATAGCTACACTCTGCGTCATATCTCGTTATATAGTTTATATATATATTGTATACTTAAAGTTAAAAGTGCGTTTAAAATCATAATAATTAAGCAGGATCGAATCTTGGACTGTTTAATGAAATGTCTCGGTCATGTAACGGAGCTGTGACGCCCACGTGCAACCTTCGGGGCGAGTGTTGTGAGGGGATACGAACGTGCAGGGACCACAAATTCCTTTGTGCCACCAACATAACTGACACGTGTGATGGAGGAAGGTGTAAAGCTGACAATAAAACGAGTGTCTGCTGTCCTGACACAGCTCAGGTTGGTTTTTAGTTAACAAACCATTAACCTCTAAATTGAGTCTTATCTCCCTGAGTCTTATCTCTCTCACGATTGTTATCTGACATAAAATTATGCTAATAGATTCGTTTGTTTCACTTTGTAACGATTATATTAAAAATCGTGAAAGTGTATATCGCGAGATCAGGCCCTTTTCTATACATATCTAAATTCTAAAGTGAAGAATTTGATTGGATAACATTTTATCACAGTGTTGTCTGACACGGGGGAGAACCTCTTGCTGTATAGAAGCAGAAGTGTGGTGGAAGTGGCCCGCTCTTCTTGCTAGTTCTGCTTTCTTGTTACTTACATTCGCTCTCCTCTACTATACATACAAGTCCACTAGGGTAAGATAGGGTTTAAAAATACTTTTGATTCAAATTTTCATAAACAACATGTTGGCAAAAACTAAAAATTCGAACAGAACTGAGCACAAGTCTATTTGATTTAGAGATATTTTTCACTTCAGTCCTCAAGACGAAACGATCGCCACGTGATACACTTCGATGATATGCCACCAGTTCAACCTCCCCCTTACCATCTTCACCACGGCTATATGGGTGTTTTGATGAAGGAGTACAGCGTGAGCGAGGCCCCACCTGAGTATATGAGCAGAGAGGGGACTCCCCAAACTCAGCACAACCTTGCAGTCATCATAAGGTATAATATGTGACATTTTGATTTTTGCAACGAACAAAATTATCAGTGATATTTGTAGACCGAATGTGCGGGTTGGTAAAGCTGTAAGAAAACTTCCGTACAATTCAGGTCAAGTGAAGGAGATGAATCATACGAGATCCAGTATAGCCCACAGCATACCCAGCAAGCAAACTATCAGATTCAAACAGCTATCCTTCGAGGAACAGATCCCCTTCAGACAATTATGTCGCTCTCCAACTTATCAGACTCTGATAACTTTACTGTGAGATCTGATTCAGTGCTAGAAGTAGAAGGTTCTGATAACTTTACTGTGAGATCTGATACAGTGCTAGAAGGTTCTGATAACTTTATTGTGAGATCTGATGCAGTGCTAGAAGAAAGTTCCGTTAATCACTGAAACGGTCCACTCAATTTAGAAGAATTCTTTTTGTTTAAATTCTTAATGATTACTATGATGATAACTACTAACTCACTAACTGTCTGTATTTTTTATTAAATACTTCTCAAAACTTTACAGAGTACAGCAATTATAACATATGAAATAAGAATCGAATAAACTATACGTCTGTAAAATCTGACGGGAAACCAAACACGGCGAATTGTGCCCGCAATTAAATGGGCCCGTAATAAAATATGTCGAACGAATTTATGAAACAAAATGTGTAGTGTGACGTAGTGAAGGGTGCAACAGTTCAATTCTTTTCAGTCGGATCAGCTGCTGCGATTGCCCTATACTATAGTTGTTGGGCCGGGATCGTAGATGTTGCCTTTTTGTGCAGAGGCGTCACAACGGATGTTCCCCAAGGGTAATCTCTGTGTGATAAACATTGATTGAAGAGATGCACACTGCATGTCAGAGACGTCTAATTGAGGTATATTGGCCGTCAAATCAACAAATACAGCTGTTAGCGGTAAATTTGTGATTTGTCCCAAGTCCCAGCAAGTATTCAAGGTCTCTGATAACTGTTTCTTGTAGTGAATACAGAATTTTTTTTGTTGGGGACTGGCCCGTGGTACCAGCCAATGTTTACTCAAAAAAGTATATATAATATCAATGGTAATAAGAAATTCATCCCCGTGGGGCACATGCATAAATATAAAATGTAAAGGAAATCTCAAACTATTCAATTTAGACTCTACCGGTAAAGTATGCAATGAAGGTTTATAGATTAAAGTTTTATTTTCCAATGGTTAATAGGTAAAGATAAGAAAAGTAAAACAAGACTGAGCACTTCAAATTTGTAGAATCTGTAACTTGATTTGAAATCGCGGCGATAAAAAAGAATGTCCTATGTTGGCAGTGTAATTGATGAGATATGCGACGTTTATTGAGTGATGCATAAGTGTGTGCATATAATCTAAGATGTAGAGACAAGGTTATTATCGGCATTTTGGTTTATGTTACGCTTTGATTTTCTTAGTCCTGTTATACAATATAACATGAAATTAGGCCAATCGTCTTCGATGTTTTCATTTTGCTGATCGATGAGCATAGTTTTTATACAAGTTTTGTAAATGTTCAGGTTAAATAGACTAGGCGGGGAAGTTGCTGCAACATTATATCGGTTTATTGCTAATAATGGACCTTTAAAAAATACTGAGTTGTTGTAAGGGTGTTGACCATACTTTTCTGACCATTGTGTAGTGAGAATAGAATCCAGGTTAGTATTAAATAATGGTGCGCTTTTGGGAATTGTTTTCTTGAGAGACAATGGTACTAGATGAGGAAAGTTTTTCAATTTATGCATTAAAATGAGTGCGTTCTTTACAATGATACTGTGTACTGTCAATATTTTATGTGAATAAAAGCCAGACTTGGTACTTGCTGGGGGGATACCGTCCTTGTACCAGTAATTGACGAAACCAGGTAATACTGCTCGAAGGCCCATTTTCTGTTTTACAAAAAGCGATTCAATATGAGACTTGGCAGCAAAACCCCATACAAGGCTGCAATAATTAAGGTGTGACTGCACAAAACTTTGATAAATTTGAAGACGTGCTTCGAGAGGCAGATATTTTTTAAGTTTGTACATGACTCCTATGTATCTGGACATTTTCATTTTCATGGCAGAAATATGATGGGACCAGTTTAGTTTATCATCTATTATAACTCCTAAAAAACGGGCTTCTGTTTTTCTCTCAATTGTGACACCAGAAATTGCCACATCACGATAATTAAGATTTCTTTGTCGAGAGAAGATCATATAATTTGTTTTCTTAAGGTTGAGAGCTAAACCATTATTATCTACCCATTTAACTAAAGCATCGCTAAGAGTTATTAGTTTATCGTAAACTTCATTAAGATTTTCTCCTATCAGGAAGATGTTGGCATCATCTGCGTACATAATGAAATTGGCTATATCTGATATTTGAGGCAGGTCGTTTATGTAGATTATAAAAAGTAAAGGTCCTAATATTGACCCTTGAGGCACGCCGTATAAAATTTGGTTGGTTGAAGATTTTGACGAGCCAATTGATACAAACTGTTTCCTGTTAGTGAGATATGACTTAAACCAGTTTAAGGCTTGACCCCTTATGCCGTAATGGTCCAGCTTGCGCAAGAGTATGGAATGATCCACAAGGTCGAAAGCTTTGCTGAAATCGATTAAAAGAAGTAAAGTTACCTGCTTTTTAGACATTGAATTAAGAATGGTGTCTTTTGCGTTGAGAAGAGCATGTTCACAAGACCTACCTGGGCGAAAACCGTATTGGTTTTCACATAGTATGCTGTATTTATCTAAAAAACTTATAACTCGGTTATGCATTAGCTTTTCAAATACTTTAGAGAAAGAAGCAAGAAGAGATATTGGTCTGTAATTTTTTATGTCAGATTTAGATCCACCTTTGTGAATTGGGACCACCTTCGCTTCTTTCAAAGCCTGTGGAAAGATCCCCTGTTCAAAAGAACTGTTGACAACGTGGGCTAGTACACTAGTAAAACTGGGACAGCTGTTAGCGATTTTTAGAGGTTCAATTTTAGTGTCTAGTGTGGCTTTATTCTTAAGCAGGTTTATGACGTCCTGAATTTCTGTGGCAGTGACTGGCTTTAAGTAAATACTACTTGGAGTGGCGTTGCGAAGTGTGCTATGGGTTCCACCAGGATCAAAAGTGGTCCTACTACTAATTTCAGACTTAATTTTAGGAGCGATGTTTGAGAAGTAATCATTAAATTTTTCTGCTACAGCTGCCGGAGTGCTGATTGAGCCGTCTTCGTCAGTCAGTTTAATTGAAGTAGGTTTAGATTTTTTCCTATTAAGAAGACTGTTTATCATTTGCCACTGCTTCTTAGAATTTTCTTTGTTTTGCTCAAAAAATTTTTTGAAGTGCTTGTTTTTAGCTTTATCGATGTGTTTATTACAAAACTTCTTCAGACGGTCATATTTACTGCGGTTACTATCAGATGGTTCCTTAACAAAATCATAATATGACTCATTTTTACGTTCTATAGCTTCTTCGAGCCAGGGCAGCATCCATGGTTTCGGATTAACACGTTCATTTTGTCTTCGTGATTGTCTTTTTGTGGGATAGGCGGACTCGTAAATCTTATTATAAGCCGTATTTAAATTATTGAACTGTTCGTTGGCATCATTGGTATTGTTAAAAATTTCTGACCAACTTTCATCTGTAATTAAGTCTCTGAATTTTTGATTGTTGGTGTCGTTAAATCTACGTGTTTCAGTTTGAGATACATTTTGTGAGTTAGACGCAGAGCGGTAGCTGCTGGTTGGCGTGTTATCAAGATTTATTGTAGTGACTATTGCTAAGTGATCAGACATATCTGTCGTTAAGACGTTACAGCTTATTGTATCCTCAAGATTGTTTGTGTAGATGTGGTCAATAAGCGTGGCACTATGGTCCGTTAGGCGAGTTGGGCGTGATACAATTTGAATAAAACCGTAAGAGGACGCAATATCTATAATGTTCTGACATGCTTGGTCGCTGCTGTGCTTCAGTAAATCAAGGTTGAAATCTCCATGAAGCGTCATATGTTTACGGGTGTGTCTCCCTAGGTTGTGCAGCGTATTTTTGAAAATTTCTAGAAACGCTTCAGGTCTCCTAGCGGGAGAACGGTAAACATTGCCAATTATTTTCGTTCTGTTGTATCCTTTGCACTGATGGAGCTTGATAAATTGAAATTCGCCACTAGTATTAGTTGGTTCAGGGTTTGGAGTGAAAATATCAATTTTATCATAATCGACTACACGTTTGTGTACATAAGTGGCTAGCCCCCCACCTTTTCCAGATGGGCGAATTGGATCCTGGATAAATGGTTCATGAAATCCATCTAAGGTAACGTCGTTTATTCCGTTCGGTAATTTCCCTAAAGTGCAATTAGTTTCGTTAAAACACAATATATCATACTTATCATAAGTCTCAATATCATCACGTAGTTGATCTATATTCTTAATAAGGGACCTTATGTTCATAGAAAATGTTTTAAGTTGAGAGCAGGTAGATTTTTTCACGTTACGTTGTTGTTTATACTGACAACTTGTTAGGAAAGATGAAATATTGCTCCAAGTTGAATCTTGATGCTCTTCGTTGGTCATGGCGTCGCCAATAAGATTAAATCGACTATTCTGATCGTACGGATTAAATATGTCACTATTAAGTTTACTGTAGTCGTCATAGATTTCATAGTAGGTTGCGTGAAATCCAGGAATGATACTTTCACAGCAACTCGTACAGCCTAAATTATCCTTAAAACATTTGACATGGACATTACTTTGACACCATGAGCATGTGCGAATATTTCTAATAGAGTAACACCAGCCGCTGCAGCTTGAACATTTGATCTTGACTTTATTTTCAGATGTAACAGTGGGTTCCATTTATAACTAAATATTATGATTATGATACTGATAGTATATAAAACTATAGTTCAAATCAGATTCTTTCACGAGAACCGGAGGTCCTGTATGCTACAGAATCGTGATATGATTTAAAAGTAAATTATATTATTTTAAGCTAAAATCGGATAATTAAGTGAAATAAAGTGTCCTTATCTAGGGCCTTATCAGTATGATTTAAATAACTGATTTGGCTAAAAAATAGAAATCGAATAAAGTGGTTGCTTTTGTGTTGTGTAGTTTTGTGAGGTGTTATTTGTATTTGATTTGTTTGTAGCGTTTACGTAATAAGGGACTATCGCACTGAACTTGAGTAATACTGAAGAGAACGCACTTGATTATTTATAGATTTGTATGTGAATTTTGAATGTTGTATAGAGTTATGAAATCTCATTGATTTAGGATGATACAGATTTGTAGAGTAAGATGTTTTGTGTGCGATCGGGTGATAAGAGATACTGATAATGAATGAGCTTATCAGATAATGAGAAAAATTCCACCAATCAGATCATTTCATTATAATATGATCTATCTTGGTAACGATCTGTTAAAGGTGGACTGGAAGTTGAGAAAGAAGTGAATCGCATTTT